GCCTGTTTGCAGGTGAGCCCACTACAGTTGTTATACATATCTAAAAACCGATAAACTTTTAGGCGAAAAAGGCACTATTCCAGGCCCATTTTTTATTTTTTTGCGATATTAGGTAAAAACAGAAGCTTCTTATCCTAGGAAAAATAAAACGGGAAATCTTTCAAAGGTGGCACACTACCTTTAAGTTATGACCCCATCTCACAAGACGAAAGTGGCAGAAAAGACAATGATCAGCTGACGCATTTTTCTTGGCCGAAGTCAAAGCGCGCGGCCCGACGCACCACCACTGCACCACAAAGTATGAGCAGAAGCCACCTAACAGGCGTGTTCGAAACCGCAGGAGATGATGATGAACGGGTTTAACGAAACTTGATTGGATGAGCCTATCGGTAACAGCGATTTTAGTGTGTGCATTTATTGTTCATACTGGTGTGAAATGTGGTTGGGGTACGACCGACAACCCGTCGGGCGAATTTCGCACTGGGGCATAGGCGTAGGAACAGGGGGGGGCCAGGTGGGCAAGTGCCCACCCACTTTTCGAGGTGGGGGGGCCAACCATGTGTTTTGGCCCACCCACTTTTTACGCGAGGCCCCTCGTCTCGATTTGAGAGGACGTCGTCGCCTTGCAGAATAAACAAACTCGGTAAAAATAAGTTCCACGAATCCCCACGCACGGACTCCAAGGGGCCGTGATGGATCCAAGGACTGGCCCTCTGTTCATACTTGTCAGTCGAAGCCCCTGATAATGATGGCCTGAGAGGCCCTAGTGGATCTGAGGAGGCCCCAATATCCACACTGGTCTGGGGAGGCCCCTGACACTGGCGGCCTGGGAGGCCCCTCTATCCACACTATAGTCAGAGGTCTGAGACTGGTGGTCTGGGAGGCCCCTCCATCCACACTAGTCAGAATAAGCCCCTGACACTGGCGGTCTAGCCGAGGCCCCCTACCCTCACTAGTCAGAGGAGGCCCCTCTATCCTCAATAGTCAGAAGAGGCCCCTGAGACTGATGGTCTGGGAGGCCTATCCATCTACACTGTAGTCAGAGGAGGCCCCTGAGACTGATGACCTGAGAGGCCCTTATCATCACACCAGGCAGAAGAGGCCCATGAGACTGATGGACTGAGAGGCCCTTCTATTCATACTGGTCACAGGAGACCCCCAAAACTTTCGGTCTGGGAGGTTCCTCAATCCGGCACCAGTCAGAAGAGTCCCCTGAGACTGGGAGGCCCCTGCGACTGATGGTATGAGAGGCCCTCATATTCACACCAGTCAGAAGAGGCCCCCGAGGCTGATGGCTGTGAGGCCCTTCTGTTCATATAACTGGCCACTGGAGGCCCCTGAAACCGGTGGTCTGGGAGGGCCCTCTATACACACTAGTCGCTAGTCAGAAGAGGCCCCTGAGACCGATGATCTGAGAGGCTCTTATATTCATACTGGCCACAAGAGGCCCCTGAGACTGATAGCCAGAGAGGTCCACTCCTAATGAATCAGAGGGGGGCCTCTATCCACATTTACACTTTTCTAGGGAGGCCCCTGAGACCGATGGTCTGAGAGGCTCTTATATTCATACTGGCCACAAGAGGCCCCTGAGACTGATAGTCAGAGAGGTCCACTCCTAATGAATCTGAGGGGGGGCCCTCTATCCACATTTACACTTTTCTAGGGAGGCCCCCGAGACTGATGGTCTGAGAGGCCCTTTTATTTATACTGTCCACAGGAGCCCCTGAGATTAATGGTCTGAGAGGCTTTTCTATTTATACTAACTAGAGGAGGCCCCTAGGATTGATGGTCTAACAGGCCCTTCTATTTATACTAGCCAGAGGAGGCCCATGAGACTGATGGTCTCTGAGAGGCCCTTCTATTCAAACTAGGCAGATGAGGCCCCTGAGAATGATAGTCCGAAGAACCATGCGCAGCAACTGGCTGTGGCCATATTTCGGCTCGGTAGGGCCCCACAGAGCTCATGAGAGCACCTCAAGGGCTCCTAAGTAGACACGCTTATCCCCATAAGGGTGCCACACCGGCTTCTGAAGGCTCCTTGTAGGCATCTAAGGGCCCTTTCCGGCCTCTAACGGCTCCACCCGCCTGTGATGGCTCCACACCAGTGTTTATGAGCGCCACACAGCGGCGCCTTTGAGGGTCATACTAGTGTCTCTTAGGGCCCTATATCGGTGGCTCTGGGGACCCCACCCGGCGCCTCTGTGGGCCACCACACCTGTGCATCTCAAGGCTCTATAGGTACATCTGAAGGACCCACACCGACACCTCTGAGGGCCCCACACCAGTATCTCGGAGCTCTGAAGGCCCCACACCGGTGACTCTGAGGACTCACCGGCTCCTGAGAGCACCATGTTGATGTCTAACGGCTCCACAAGGCCACTGAAGGCACCATACAAGCTCTCACTGAGCTCTAATGTCCATGTACCGGCCTCTGAGGGATTTAAGCCAGCGCATTCATAGCTCTACACCAGTAATTGTAAGGGCTTCACACTGAAGTATCTGAGGGTTCCACACCGGTGTCTCTAAGGGCCACATACCGGCATCTCTGAGGGCCCCATACCGGCGTCTCCAAGGGTCCACATCCGGCGGGCACCCATCAGCGACTGAAGGTCCCACACTGTCGACTCCGAGAGCACCATCTGCGTCTGGGAGCACCATGCCGTCTTTAAGAACCACAGCGGCTCCTCCGTCGAAAGATGGGCGTCTGCATGCCAAAGGGGAGCGGTTCTGAGACAGTAGGGCACCTACGTGCAATAGAGGGGCGCCTATGAAGCCCATAGGGGCGCCTCAATGCGAAAGAGGGGCGCCTCTGAGGCCTACATATATGGGCGTCCACATGCAATAGAGGTCTGCAGACTGCAATTGATCAATGCCATGGGGGTGCATTCATAAGAAACAGGGGCGCCGGCATGGCAAAGAGAGGCGCCTTCAAGTGTCCATAAAAGAGAGACGCCTATGATAAGCGCACATTGTATGCGACAACGGGGAGACTGTGGCACATATAGGGATGTCTCTGATGACTATACATAGGGCGCTTATATGCCAAAGAGGGCGCCTATGAAGCTAATGGGGGCACTTGGGAAACGAGGAAGACATTTGTGTAAGGGTTTTCAGGGGTCATGCGCCGTTTGCGGCAAATAGATTCTAAAAAAAAAAAATCGGAGGGGGAATAAGTTTTAAAAATGGTGCGGACTTTCCGCACTGTTCGCTTAAGCGGTTACGCCCCTGGGTACATCTGCCCGATCTGAGAAGCTAGATTTGGATGTCATACTTGAAAGCAGCCAGCAGGACGAGGCAAAAGTTGGAGGCCCCTGAAAATAGGAGGCCCCTGGAAAAGGAGGCCCCTTGACAGGGTGGCCCACCCACTTTTCATGACGTTCCTACGCCCGTGCACTGGGGTACTCAAAATTGGAAGAATTTAAGACGTTTCCATGAGTTTTGACGGTATGGATAAGTTCTAAAAATCCGGTTCTCCTTATCCGGGTCATTAACTCCATATGGTCCAGGAAAGCTGGCACACTACCTTTAACCCTGCCGGGCCCGGGGGGTAATCCCAACCATCGCAGCCCGGGGGGGGGGGCGTTTTTCGCCCCCCCCCCCCTGTCTAACTTCGTAAATAAGGGAGCTACGGAAACAAAAGCGATACCAAACGAAAGGTCCTTACGAGACGATTCTAAAGCACCTAAAATTTTTGACCTCAGGTCAATTTTCAAGGTCAGAGGTCAAGGTCAAAGGCAAAAACCGGCACATGTGTAGTGATCTCAAAGTAAGCCTCCTTCTAGAGGACGGCAGGCTGCATCAAACCGGCGAAATTGGGTGTCAAACGAAAGAAGAGAATCTGAGGATTCCGAAAATGTGCTTAAAATTAAAGGTCAAGGTCAAGGTCACGCTCAAAATTGACCTCAAACTTGGCACTTTTTCGCACATCTTGCGTGCTAGCTTCCAAGATGTTTTGAAATGTTTTGAGGCTTATCAGTTCCCTATTTGTGGTTCATCTTACGATACAAGGCTGCTCAAAGGTCAAGGTCACAGAAGAGTATCCCTGCTAGAGGCTATTTCACTGATTCAAGTTAGTAATAATAAATAAGACAATTTTGCCGTCCAGAAGCTCTAAATGAAGGCTTTGAGGAAAATAGATGCCAGATTCGTGATCAGCGGGTACAAATCCATCATAAATGACCTCTCATGTGTCAAGGTCAACCAGAGGTCATTCGAGGTCACATGAGGTCAACATAAAACTTGACCTTTTCCGAACAAAATATATATCATTCGACGCGGCTTGACAAGGCGAATGCGATGGTACCATTGCCGTAGCTCTAGGACCATTTTTGTCGAAGTTATTTGCGAAAAACTAAAGCCACATTTCGGGGTCATTGACCTGACCTCTGACCTCAGGTCACTCAAACTATTTTTCTATTTTTCTCTAGGTCAAACGCTACACAACCGTGCTCGTAATTTGTCTTTATCTCTAAAACTCTATTTTTAGCAGCTATTTGAAGTTTGCGTCTGTGACGCCGAAGTTTGCCGTGCAGAGGTCTAGAAGAATGGACCTTGTGACGTCATCAATGGTGCTAGGTCCAAATTGTTTACTTCAGAAGATGTCAAATTGATGGGAGAAAAGGTACTGAAAGTTTCGCTTTCCTATCCCTAAGCGCTCGGGAGCTATCGCAAATATTCGCCAGGGGGGCGAAAAACGCCCCCCCCCCCCGGGCCCGCGAGGGTTAACCTCGTAAAGAGAAGCAGCTGTCCCAAGGGTAATCTATATTATATTGGGATTACCTATACTTAACTGCATTTTTATCATCTTCAGAGCAAAAATAAAATCATTATTAGACGCGTATATGATCCATTGGCCCTCTGGGTACTCTCCCACAACCCGTGTTCGCTCCTGTGACCCCTGTGTCCGCTCCTGTGACCCCTGTGCCCGCTCCTGTGGCCCCTGTGTCCGCTCCCATGACCCCAATATCCGCTCCGCTAACCGCGCCCCCCGTGTCCGTCAGGTTCCTGATGCTGAAGGCGCAGAGCGGCCAGTCGGCCGAGCTACTGGACGACGTCCGTGCCTCCCGAGTGGCCGACTCGGCCGGTCGCCGGCTCTACCTGCTACACCCGCACGTCACAGAGGTGGTCGACTTTGTGTCGCACCACCTGCACTTCTTCTCACGGTGAGCAGCGAAAGGTTACAACCGGCTCTAAGTTAGGCATCACAAACGATGTTTTCTCTCATTGAAAGTAAAAACGCATCCCTAGTTTTCTGTGGTTGCATTGTGTGATTGTTGGAGTACGCTGGCAATTGCCATTGTTATTCCATGGAATAACAATTTATTCTGTCTTTCCTTCTGACTTTCTTCTTCTCGCTCTCTTCTCCTGTGGCCTCCTCTGACCATATCCGGCTGTTTTTCAATAGAAAAAAAAAACAATTCTAACGACTGGGTAGTGTTTGTCTATTTCAAACAACCTGCGCTTACTATTCACGGGAGTCCCTCCCAGCCTCGTTCCACTGTGGGGGTGGCCCTCCGTGACCCTCCCGCTGCCAAACTAACCCCCTCACCGCCGTCTCTGTGCTCGCAGCTCGCCGAACCTGGTGCTGCAGCAGGCGATGAACGAACCAGCCGACAGCTGGCTTCGCTCCAGTGCCGAGCAGCTGGTGCGGGAGAGCCAGCCGCCGGGCACGGCGCTGGTCCGACTGAGCTGCCAACCGCGCCGCTCCGTCAACGAGCCCAGGCCCTGTCAGATGACACTGCGGCCGGCAGAGGTCAGTCGGGGTCGAGAGGGGTCAAGAGGGGTCAACAGAGGTCAGTCGGGGTCAGCTAAGGGTCAGCCGGCGTCGGTGGGGTCAGTCGGCGTCGAGAGGGGTCAACAGAGGTCACTTGGGGTGGTCTGGAGCTGGCTGAGGTCAGATATTAGGTCAGTCAGGGATGTCTGGGGTAGGGATTACCGGAAAGAAAATATCAAGAGTTCTCTTCGGTAAGTCGAGGGAGGAATTTTCGTTTCCCCGTGACAAGCTAATCTCCCTATTTTATTTTTCTGTAAAGAGTTTTCGCTTATCACGTAGAGGCAACGAAGATATGCCGCTGGGTATTGTTCGCCAGTTTTTCGTATCATTTACACTTTTGATGTAGGTATAGTATTTCCACTTATATTATCCGTCAAGACACATGCTCCTGATCATCTTGTCGGTTGGACTTGGTTTGTTGTCTAAGTAGTACCACGGCCTCGAAGATGTCTGGAAGTTCGAAGGACTATGATCCTGGCGAACTATCTGGAAACGAATCACTTCTAAATACAGGGTGACACAAAAAAACGGTCATCACCAAAATTCGAATAACTTCGGAAGTTTTATTCAGATCATCACCAAACTTCGGCCACTTTAGGTCACACCTATGTAGCAGACATCCACCAAGTTTCAAGTCTTCACTACGAATACTTTTAGTACAGTGTGTGTTTTACGGACGCTCCACAATGTGCTCCAGGTGAGCGCCCCGGCGCTGCAGGGCGTAGGCACACCTGCATCCGGCGGGCAAAGTTGTCGATAACCCGATAAGAATAACGTTTCAGGGGTAGCACACCCCCTGAGCACTGTCTCCAGAGGCCATTGCACTCTGTAAAGTGCACAGCCATCGGGTTATCGACAACTTTGCCCGCCGGATGCAAGTGTGCCTACGCCCTGCAGCGCCGTGGCGCTCACCTGGAGCACATTGTGGAGCGTCAGTAAAACACACACTGTACTAAAAGTATTCGTAGTGAAGACTTGAAACTTGGTGGATGTATGCTACATAGGTGTGACCTTAAGTGACCGAAGTTTGGTGATGATCTGAATAAAACTTCCGAAGTTATTCGAAATTTGGTGATGACCGTTTGTTTTGTGTCACCCTGTACCTTCATTTTCCTAGCGAAAGGTGTCTTTGTTTTTGTCTTTTAGCTGTCAACAATCACTTTAACCGGAGTCTACGACGCAAGCAGAGTGGTAATTGAGGTCGTTGAGCTGAGTGATTTTGCTCAGATCTTTTCTTTTCCTGATGGGTCCTAAGTCATACCTTGAAAACGGACAGTAGTTACTCGCTCCTCGGCCTTTGCTGAGGTCAACATTGGTTGATGTCCACTTATTCAGGCTCCCTCTGTCGCCAGTTACCTTTTTATTTATATTCCGAGCTCTCTGGCTCAGCTAATGGCACATGCTTTATGTGCCGCCGTGATATTCACTAGCAGGCACACGAGAAGCAAGTGCATTGACTCGGTTGCTAGTTGGCTTCATTAGATATAAAACCCATATGTGGTAAGGAAACCTGAGCCCGGGCCGTTCGTTGGTAAGAACATATGGAGTTTCGTTGCCCGGGGGCTGCGGCTGGCATTGATCCCGGTTCTACGTTGCGTTGACAGGCGCTCGTCGGCCCGCGTCTCTAGGGCCTAGGCTATCGAGCTTCTGACGCGAGCTTTTGACCTCTGACCATAAGTCCCTGACCTCAGACCGTCACCGCTGACCTCTGACCGTTAATCCGGAGACCCAGGTGTCACCGGCGCCTCTCGGGCTCTTCGAGTACCGCTCGTGGTTGTCCTGTAGTGGCGATCAGGCGCGTGTGCCGTAGTCCTGAGAGGCCGGCGTGGGCGCCTCTCCTCCATCAGGGCCCGCCGCGGTGGGGGTAGATCGGCGCTCGAGAGGGATAACAGAGCTTGGAGAGGATTTCGTCCAGTCGGGGCTGGCGGCAGGTGGCCCAGCCGCTGGAGAGGCTCGTGAGGGGTGATTGTGGCGGTAGAGGGTCCTACAGGTGGTGGCAAGGGCGGATAATCGCTTCTGGAACCTCTCGACTGTGACAGAAATATAAAGGTCGTAGAAGTACTTGGCCTGAGGAGATATGCGTTTCTTTAGGCGAAGTCCAAGGTCTCTCAATCTAACTGCGCACAAACGGTGATTAATCGTCTTGCGACTGAGTATAAAGGCAGTACATTTTGGTTTCAAGCTTTTATGTGCTATTTATATCAGTATTTTACCCGCTAACGACAGTAATACATAATGTACAGTATCTGATATGATAATATAGTTACATATTCAACCACTCTTAGTTATAACGGATTTCGATGGTGTCAGCCAAATAATGGAGTTAAACGTTAGGCTCATATAAATGTTCTGTGCGGTTTCAGCAATTCCCCAATGAGCGATTATGAGTAAGACAAATTCTAGGTAAATAAAGTTAGGGGTGGTTTTGGGCTGAAGTTATATAGCAACTACAATAACACAACCATTTGACCACTCAGATAGATGAAGCCGTTCTTGTCTTCGTCACCTGGTATTAATTACTGCTATGAATAGACATTTCGAATCGGTCTGTCATTTACCCAGAAATCAATATCAACCATCGCATGCTTTTCGATTAGATGGGCTTGTGGGATTGATTTTGGTCTCGTCTACTTGTAATTACGGTTCGAAACGTGATATCCTAATGGTGCATGGCAGAGGCGTATCACCCTGATTTGCTGAATGTCCATCATTACCAACCATATCGTCAGAGTTTTATATACCGGAGTGGGCGCTACGGTGAATCCGGTCCCGGTTCTGCGATAGTAGCAGGATTCAATGTAACCACTCATAACCCCCGTTGACCTCCCGTGACCCCTCTGACCCGCCCTTGTCGTCCGCGCCCGCAGGCAGTGACGGCGGCGACGGTCGACCCCGCCGGGGAGAGACTCTACGTCGGCCTGCCCAGCGGCGAGGTCAAACTGTACGACCTGACCTCAGGACGCGAGACGCGCACATTCACCGGTCACGGAGAGCCAATCACGAGTGAGTACGGGGATGGATGGACCAGCAATGGCGTGAGAGGATCAGGTGGGAGCAAATCACATGAGGATGAACCGGCCGGGGACAGCCAATCTTAAGTGAGAACGGAGCGAGGCAGTCAATTACAGGTGGGGAAAGGTTATGGGTCAATCGGTACATGGATTTCCTATGGATGGAGCAAACGTCTGTATGGCAACTATCCATATTTGTCGGTTACAAAGAACGACCATACCCGAGGCCAATTATCGCCCGAGATCGGAACGATAATACCATAGTAATAATATAGACCGCATATCTAACAATAGGAATCTCATGAAAGGCGACGAGCAATAGTACTGAGCACAGCGAGTTTCATATTCCCAAGTTCCTAGCCGAATAGGTAGGTATTACCTATACTTGGCGTGTGACAAGCGAGACAAATCCTCAACCGATGTCTGGCTCGCAGGACGGATATTGGGCTGTCAGTTTGGACAGGGAAATAGCCGAGCTCTGTCAGTGAAAATAGCAGCCAGCCTAGCGGACAGTGACTGTGGGCGCTGAGGGTCGCCGCGTCCGGCTCAGTTTCCGCTGGGTCAGGTTTTTCCGTCTCCCCAGAACAGTCTAGTCCCAGACACAGTCTTTTTAGATATCCAGAGCCGCTTATGGTGGCTGTCTGTACTGTTGAAGCTAATCTGGTCAGATCTAGAACCCATCTATCGCTGACTCACTGAGCTCCATATCACAGGACACAGACACATTTGTCCTATTAGGTCGTCGCTGTCCTGCTGCTCTCAATAAACATCGTTGACATCTTCGATATATCGTCGTCGCTACCTTTAATATGCGGCAATTGTCCGCGTGGTTGGTCGTCGTGCAATTCATGGTCGTCTACGCTTTTTACCGATTAGCTCGCTGGTGTAGCCTGTATCTCCTTGTTTGACGCATGAATACATCAACTGACCTCTGTCCGCTTCCTCCCTAGCCCTGACCTCTGCCCCTCTGTCCCTGGGCCTGGCGACGCTCTAACCCTGTCCCTTCCTTCCCTCTCTGACTCCGATCCCTGCTGCTCCCCTCCTCAGGCCTGGCGTTGTTCGCGGACGGCGCCTACCTGGTCAGCTCTGACTGGGTGCACGTCAGAATAGCTAGTGACATTTGAGCTAGTGACTTTTCAGCTAGTGCAAAACAGCTAGTGCCTCAAAACAGCTAGTGACAAAATCGCTAGCGTCAAAATAGCTAGTGAAACAAAATAGCTAGTGCTTCAAAACAGCTAGTGACAAAATCGCTAGAGTCGAAATAGCTAGTGAAGCAAAATAGCTAGTGGATCAAGATCGCTAGTGGCAGAATAGCTCGAGTCAAATGAAAAAAAAATCCCTCTACTGAGATGGTAGGAAAGACATCGCGGAGGGCCCTAGGTTGGTCAAATTCAAAGTCAATTATGCACGTGCGTTGTCGTACATGACTTAGTTTCGTAGATTTTCGGTACCTATATGTTGCCAAAGGTTTTTCCCAGAAGACGTAAACGTATACCCTCTGAGACCACCTGCGCCCCTCTAAAGCACCGCTTACAACCACGTTAATCTTGCATATTTGACTGAAACTGAAAGTTACTGGTCAGATTTTTGTCAGATCAGTAACTTTCATGTTAGATCAGACTTCTTACCTTCGAGCATCCATGCATTTTTCTTCACCAATTCGTCAAACATCTGATCGGTCGCAAAAGTATCATTCAGTCATTAGGTCGTACTTACAACTGCTTCTCCTAGCCTAACAATTCTATTTTTCTGGTGTTTGGATTCCTGCTCTAGTAACCGGTTCTGGTGCATAGCCTTCGAGCCGCCTTATTCTTTTCCTTTGAAGCCTTAAATAAATGTTCGTGCATTTTGGCGCCATGGTCTGCACCTCAATGCCAACGTTCATGTCACAATCTTCTTAAAGGACCCGTCATTAAAGAATTCACACTAGCTGCTCGCAGTTCGTAGGCACTAGCTGTTTTGCTTCACTAGCTATTTTGACGCTAGCGATTATAGCACCAGCTGTTTTGAAGCACTAGCTATTTTGTTTCACTAGCTATTTTGACGCTAGCGATTTTGTCGCTGGCTGTTTTGAGGCACTAGCTTATTTGTACTAGCTTAACCCGCGCCCGGCTGGGGGTCCTGGATTTCCACGCCCTGCTGGGGGGGGGGGGGTGTTTGAACACCCCCCCTTGTAACTCGGCTCCTGGGCCACGTAGCGATACGCGGAAGGCGGCGTTCGAAAGAGCGTCAAAAATAATGACGACGGTCAATTTTTTGGTCAGGTCAAAGGTCAGGTCACCAGAGGTCATTGAAGGCAAAATTTCGCCGATTTCCAGGTCGAATGGCGAAAATTTCCAAGAAGCCAACGCATAACTCGGGAACCAATAGAGCTACAGCGCCGCGGAAAAGCGCATTCGATAGCCCTATTAACGCCCTTTCTGAGTAATTCTCTCAGATTTGACCTAGCGTCAACGGTTTTGCCTGCAGGGGGCAAAAACTGCAAAAATAGCCGATTTTTTTCGGAAACAGTTTTTCTGCAATAACTTTTGACCCAAGCCCTGTACGAGCTTACTTTTACCGGCATCGTGTTCCTCTCGTCAAGACGCATCGAATGAACTATAACTTGACCTTGAAAGGTCAACTTGAAAATTTGACCTCAGGTCAAGGTCATGACCTGACCGGAAAGGGTCATGTTGCATATCAGTCGATCCGTATCGTCGAGCTGAACACATCTAAGGCGTTTTCATCGCTCTAGCATGCCTCTATCAAAAGTTATTTGCGAAAAACTGTTAGATACCATTCGTGACCTAAGATGACCTCAGGGCATAAACAAGGGTCACGGACACCATTTTCATGTTCAGTGTGTCTAAACCACTTGTAATTCGGTGTTTGGGAGTGTTTATAATGTCTTTCATCCAAAAGAGGCGCATTTCAATTTTCTCCCATTGACTTATAATGGGGAGGTCGCAAAATTGACCTGACCTTAGGTCATCGATATCAAAATTCTGAGATATACATTATGTACATGCTATTGCTCTTAGCAATCGCTGAAAGTTTCAAAGCGATCGGTCACTCGGTGTAGCTATGACAGACATTGAAACTTTTTATGAGGTGAGGTCACTTCAAGTGACCTGGTGACCTGACCTTGAATGACCTTGGTCTGAAATTTTCACAACATGTGTAGAATTGATGTATGATAAGGTGTACCAAAAACGGTGGCGCTCCGCGCCGCCGTTTTTGAGATATTCGCGAAAAACCACAAGGGGGGTGTTCAAACACCCCCCCCCCCCCCCCAGCAGGGCGCGGGTTAAAAGTCACTAGCTCAAATGTCACTAGCTGTTTTGACGTAGACCCGCTCTGACTCCACCCTCCAACCTCCCCCAGGCCTGGCGCTGCTCGCGGAGGGCACCTACCTGGCGAGCGGAGCCGCGGACGGCCAGCTCAGTGTGTGGGAGGCGGGCTCCGGTCGCCGGCTGGCCGTCACACGCGCCCACCGGCGCCGTGTCGCCTGTCTCACCGTGCAGCCGGACGGCGGGGAGTTTATCTCGGTCGGCTGGAGCTGCGACATCAAGGTGGGGTGGGATGGGGAGTGGGGTGATTAGGGAAGAAAGAGAGGGAGGACTAGGAGACTAGAAGGTGTAACAAAGTTAAGGATGTCAACATCAACATCTTTGTAATATTTCACAGTGATAACCTGATCATGATAGCTGACTACACATTTATCTAATGTAGTTAATAAGAACACAAGTCAGCTTTATCTTATCGGGAGTAAGGTGAAAAGATCACGCCTACTGTTTATGTCATATTAATCAGCGAGGTTTCATATCTATTTTTCTGAGACGTATTTTTCTCCTTGAATCATTTTTCCTCCCATCAAGTTATTAATTTGCCAAATTGTTATCAGTTATTACTTATTCACCAATCCCTACCACCCTGCCTAACCCTTCTCTCTCCCAGCTGTGGCGGTTCCGCGCCTCTGCCGGGCTGGGCTCCTCGTCGGGCGGCAGCGGCGGCGGCGAGCTGCAGGAGGTGCGCACCTTGGAACGCGGCTCGCGCCCCATCACCTGCGCCGCCTTCCACCCGAGTCGGCCGCTGGTGGCCACTGGTGGATGGGATGGCGCAGTGAAAATCTGGGACACGACGGAGATGAAACGCAAGGCGGTACGTCCGGGAGGCGTGAGGGTAGGGGAGAGTGATGGATGAAGGTGTGACATTGGAGAGATAGCTGGAAGTGATGGGACAAGAGGGCATTGTTTGATAAGAATCGGAGATAGTATGGAAATTAGGCTACCTGTTTACCGATGTCCACGAAGGACTAATGTAAGTTAATGTAAGTAAAACTAATTTAAGAGCAAAAACGGGTGGAATAATAGTAAGTTTAGAATGAACTTAATATGTACTATGCTGGTAAGCAGTGTTAAAGGTACTAGCTTGGCCGCGCTTGGGATTATTTTGGTGTAATTTTAGACATTTTTATTACTGTTTTACACGACCGTCTTGGTGTTGTCGGTGCTTCTCAGCGCTCTACGCGTATGACTCCCGCAGTGACGCGTCCCCATGGCGTGCTACCCAGGTGCGTCACGGCCACGACTCATCAGTGCGCTGTCTGGCCATCTCGCCGGACGCTAGCTACCTGGTGTCGGGAGATCTGGACGGCTACCTGATCGTCTGGGGCACCAAACACGGAGACTGGGTCAGTGTCAAACAGTGGTGATCGCTCTGTCACCAGTGATAAACGTGCGTCAGAACCAAACGGGGCTTTGTAGTCAACAACCAATAGAACAATAATCATGTCTTTCCTCGTGGTTCTGTCACAGCCCATAATCATTAATTGTAGCACCGACTTCTCAGTTGTTTGTTTGGGGCTGCGTCTGCATCGTTTTGTTGGTCTGCCCTTCTTCAGTCATTGCTGTATCCTTTTAGCTAGGCTCGTCGTAGGAAATATGTCCACTGACTACTACGTGTGTTGTGTTATTACCTGTGTGTGTGCGGTGACCGCGCAAGACGTAACCATGGATGAAGGAATCATGACATTACTGTCGTGTTTTCTGTTATTGTGCGCTCTTGGGGCGTTTGCTATTGATTCTATGCTCACTTATGAAGCACCATTGATACAGGATTCACGTCTCCAATGTGTGCGTGGTGCTCAATATACCCGGATATTGTGCGGCCCTGCACTGCAAAACTAAAGTCTACGTTATCAGAGGAAGGTCCATTGTAACTTCCCATTTGCCAGTCTGGCTCATGCGTAGGTATACCCTCGTTTTTATTGTATTGCGTCTTGCGACACCTAGCCGGTGAGCCATCCTGTTGGTTTACCCTGACTACGCTAAGTTTTACTCATGATAGACATACAGGATTCCACGCGTGACCGCAACAAAACAACTCCGATCAAACCAGAGTCATGAGAGACAAAGTATGACCTAAACTCAAATGATCCCTTACGGACAAAAATCTTCCCTCAATACTCTCCTTGATCAATAAAATTCTGACACAAATCTTACCTATGATACGACAGAAGTGACCCTATCCCTGACGTAAGGAAGTTTGGCCGAAAGTCACCCCTGTCCAACAGATCTAGAAATCTGACCGAATATCACCCCTGGCCAACAGATCCAGAAGTTTGACCGAATATCACCCCTGGCCAACAGATCCAGAAGTCGCGCGTGCACGACGGCCCGATACAGGCGGCCTGCTACCTCGGACCGGAGAAGTTCGTCACGGCTGGCGCTGATGGGGATGTTAAGGTGAGCGTAAACCCGGCCCATTACACACACCCTTACATAGCTGTGTCGTATACGTAGCGCCCTATCCCATCTATTTACCGCACCCGAACATATGCAGCGCTCACTCCCCCCCCCTCCCACCACCACCACCACCACCACCACCAACACACCCATTCCCACACACACACAAATACACAATTATTTACACACGCATTGCCCCGTCTACTGCAACAATCAGCCTTGTTTTAGTGATGACGGACCCCATCAGACATGTCTAGTTGGCTAGTCGCGACGACGCACTCGGTTCTTCCCGGACGCCACCCCGTGTGTTCCCGCTCGAATGGCGCTATTACCTGTGGTTGAGATAGCTCCATTTAGAATGATCGTGCTCGTGCTCATTCAGTAGCCGGATGCAGCTGATGACAGGACGCCCATTGGTCTGACGTGCATCCCAGGCCGCCGTCTGGGTTTTTGTCGACATGATGCATGTCTGATATTGTTCGTACGGATTCGTATACGTCCCATAAGTGCATTGTCACTGGGAAATAATGTCGCGATGACCGCTGCTCAGCCACCCGTACAATGCACGGTCAATCCACATTGCATTTTCGACTGGTTCTGTGAAAAGATTCATCCGGTAGAAAATTCTATACAACAAAGGATCTTGTGGCAATTCATTATTTATTTATTTTTCTATACTTTTTCATGAAGTGATGAGTGGGCGGCCGTGGGCTGGGCTCAATTTATTCGAGTGAATATACCCGGATGCTTGTATATGAGGTGTGACAAAAAGAACCAGGAATGTAGTGGAGTGTGCGTACTATGAATGCCGCTGTGACGCTCATGACTAAAGCTTCGTTGAAACCATTCGTAGGTGAAAGTAATGGTTAAGTTGGGAAAAGGGGAAAAGTGGGTGCATCAAGCTTGTGCAAGAGCTCCGAGGAGAGGATTCTATTTTGACTGTGAGGGAATGTGGCCAGAAAAAAAAAAACTTAAAATGCGCTATTTTAAGCTAAAGGTGAATCGCCGGGAGAGGAAGGGTTTCCATTTCGAAGACGAATGAAAATGATTATGTAGCGTATGAGACAGCTGGTGTGGAGCGATCGAAGATAAGTGGCGGGAATGATAGTAGAGGAGCTCAACATGATCAGGGAATAAGCTTGCACCGCCTTTACGCAGCTGTAAGGGATGCAGAAAGTTGAGAGCTGCATGGGCTGGGAATGGGTTTTCCGTGGTGACGACGCGCCCTCCCACAAAGCACTTAGTTGGGAGCCACTTCTGGCTAGTAGGTGAACTGCAGTGTTTAAATATCCACTGTATTCAACAGATCTCGCACCGTGCATCTGGCTCTTCCCCTGGCTGAAGCGTCAACCCAAGGAAACTCATTCTCTGTTTAGGAATACCATGAAAAGGGTTATTAAAAAAATACGTGTCCTTTTTGTCAGAGCTCGTATCGTTAGTGGTTTTTGTATAGCCCATAGTAGGATGTTGAATAGAACTTGGGTAAGCCCAAGTTCATCAGAGCTCAATCGAACCTGGCCACTGTATTCCCGTTTGGCCGACCATGCGATATTACATGTGTTGTTTTCTTTCGTCGCCTTGGTTACCGTGGTTAGTAGCGATGTCTGATTATTTGGTGTAGTATCATGATCCCCGGCGTACTATTACAATGCCATGATATCGTACTTTAACCCTCGCCGGACCTATTGGTTTTCTACATACGTGCCGGCCGAGAAGGGGCGGGTACGACCCCCCTCGCCGTTTTGCCCCTGGTGGAGCTAGCGCGTCGCGGAAAGAACGAGCGTGTGCGCTGTTACGTTACGAATTTAAGGTCCTAGGTCAACCGGTGACCTCTGAGTTCAGGTCAAGTGCCCCAAGGTACGGTTCAGTTTTTGGTGAATAACTTCGCAAAAAAACGGCCGCAGAGCCGCGATTTTGGCAGCATCGTGTTCGCCTCGATCAGGCGCGTCGAATGATATACTTTTTATTTGGGTGAGGTCAATTTAGGGTGTTGACCTCAGGTCACGGTCAGGTCAGCACCCCCAGGTCACGAAATCGGTCGAAGTAGGTCATGTCGCATATCATTCGATTCGGCAGGTCTTCCTGAGTTAATTCGTGGCTTTCCCGACTCGCTAGCTCAATTTGATCAAGAGTTATTGACGAAAAACTAATATGACCCTAATGACGTCACGCAAGGTCAACATTGCAAAAGTGACGCATCTAACCTTGCAAGGAGTGCACTAAATCACGATTCTGTGTGCTTGAGATAGTGAGAGATCGTTCCCGGTGCCAGAATAGCAGTTTTAATTTTTCTCCATTGACTTATAATGGTAAGGTCACGAAAGGCGCCAGTGTGTGTCGGTCACAGAGCTCTCTCACTCGGTGCCCGCCACAGCTCCCTCCCCCTCTCCGCTCTGCTATCCCACGGGTTCCATACCCCGCCTCAGCTGACCCCTCTGACACTGGTGGCCTGCGGGTGACCTCACCTGACACCACCGGTCACTGGTCACTCGTCCCTCTGATACAACCCGCCCGCGGTCATTCCGTCCCCTCTGCCACCGCTGGCCCGAGGGTCACTATCCCCTCCGACACTGCCCGCCCGCGGTCATTCCGTCCTCTCTGCCACCGCTGCCCCGAGGGTCACTCTATGCCCTCCGACACTGCATTCCTCCCGCTTGTCATTCCGTCCCCTCTTCCACCGCTGCCCCGAGGGTCACTCTATCCCTCCGACACTTCAGCCCTCCCGCGTGTCAGTCCGCCTGACACCGCTGCCCCTCGAGTCACTCTGACCCTTCTAACGCTGCCGGCTCTAGAGTCACTGCGCCTAACAGCGCCCACTCGCGGGTCAATCCGCCTGACACCGGGGGGGGGGGGCGGGGGATGGCGGTGTCACTCATTCTGACTCATTCTGACTCTAGTTAGGTGTCTATCTGACACGCCGCCCGCGGGTCACTCCTCCTGACACTGCCCTCCCGCCCGCCCGCGGAGCATTGTCTGACACTGCCTGCCCACTTATTCCACAGATGTGGCGCTCTCACGTGGGCAGCGACATCCACCAGGCGGCCTCCTCGGCCCCCGTCCAGCTGGCTCTGGCCGCTCCGAACGGCTCTCTGCTAACCGTCACCACCGGTGGAGAGATCTCTCTGCAGCCGGTGGCGCCGCCGACCTCTGGGGACGCGGGCACCGCCGGCCGCGGCGGCCCACCGCGCTGGAGCCGGCGGCTGGAGAACGTCAGCCGCGCGGCCTGCGACCAGCACCGGGTCTACCTGGCTGTCGGCCGGGCCGTGCTCGTGCTGAAGATGTCGGACGGCAAGACGGAGCGCCAGTTGGCGGCTGGGGCGCCTGTTACCAGTCTGGCCTGCCTGCCGCCCGAGGCGCCTGATAGCGCCATGGGGGTGGTGTTGATGGGTGAGTGGGGTAGAGTTGTGGTAGAGGGCCGGGCTGCAGATAGATAGGACAGCTTTTGCGTAGGTAAGTTTAGCAGGTGAGGGGCGTTGAGGATAAGAAAGTGAGAGGCAGAGGATCGGGGAGTGGGGGATATGGGAGATAAAGAGACCACGACGAGTAGAAGAACGTGCTAAGGGCAGGGAATTTTTCGTGGTATAGAGACGACGAAAGCTGCGCAGTCAGGGTGGGATATTTACTTGAATTGACTTGGTGATCTGGTAAATTTGTATACTGATTCTTGCCTTATTTTCTCTTTTTTCATGTTATACTGATTTCGCCATCCTATTCCGGTTTCGTCATGAATCCCCCTTGGCCGGACCCGTGACCCGGCCTACCCCTGGGACCTGGCTGCTGCTGCTGGGGTCGCCACCATCTGTACGGTGCCGTGGATCCCCCTGTTACCAGTCCTGTTAATTGACCTCTTCTGTCCCTCAAAGGTTTGGAGGACGGCCCCCTGTTACCAGTTCCGTTAACTGACCTATCTTGCCCCCCCCCCTTCCCTCCAGGATTGGAGGACGGCCGGGTGGGCGTGGCGCTGGCCGACCGTGGAGAGCTCGTCACCACCGTGGCCCACGCCGGGGAGGTGACCGACATTGCTGTGAACGTTCACGACCCAGAGCGACCGCGCATGGCCACCGGCGGACGGGATGGCGTGAGTGGAAACAGGGCGGAATGGGAAGGGGTAGAACAGTGTGAGTGGGGGATAGGGGACGTGGGGAGAGGGGAGAAGAACATGGGACAGGAAGACATGGGACCGGGTGAGAAGGGAATATGATAGAGAGGGGTAAGAAGATGGGATTTGACGGAGAATATAGGACGTGATAGTAACTGGACGTCGTGAATGGGGAACGTGGAAAGGTTTAAATGAGGAAGTGGGACGGGGAAAGGACAGGAGCGGAAACGGTGAACGGCGGAAGAAGTTAGAATATTTTATCAGCGGCGACGGGGAAAGCCGAGGTAGGAACTGTTACTTAACCTTCGTTGCAGCACACTATCATGGCGTGATCTTTTTTTGACGGGTGCTTTTTCATCGCTGATTTCTCTTCTTTCTCTCCTCCCCGCCCTATCCATCAGATGGTGCTGCTGTGGTCTGGCGAGGACTCGTGGGACAAGCCGTACCGCTCGCTGGAGGCGTACTCTGTGCCCGTGTCGGCTCTGGCCTGGATCGACGACCAGCTGGTCACGGCCGGACAGGACTCGCAGATGCACCTCTACCCGCGGCCCGACGACCCGGCCGGCGAGCGACGCCTGCTCGTCGGAAACGACGCGCCCGTCACCGCCCTCCGCGCGCACGTGAGTCGACAGACGGGGGAAGGGGGAATGGGGAGGGGGATCTGTGTGCTGTGTGAGACACTCATGGTGCTTGACTGAGTGCCCGGTGACTGCGGTGAGGCTGTAAGAGTGTCACCGTTCTACTGGCCATTATGTGCAGTGTGTGTGCAGCTGGTGTGTTACAACGCATATCTCGATTGGACTGCTGGTAGCGAGCAGCAGTCATGAAATGTTTTTTTTTTTATAAAACGCGATACTGAAGAGTAACTACTATTCAATGTCTGAAAAATCATTATATTTCGGTTATTTTGTAGAGCCGGATACTACACCTTTTTGCGTTGTTCGATGGCCAATCAGCAAAACCCATTCGTCCGATCAGCACATAGGTGGCGCCAGTGAGAGGCATTCTGGCAAAACCTTCAGCATATGGGCAAAACGGAATGCTGATCCCACTCCACAGCTCGTCAGTAATTGGTATTACCTTCGCTTTTCGCCAAAACTGATTGAGTTCCGGCAAAACCTTTGACGATTTGGATAAATGCTTCGTCATTCGTTAATATCCCTTCGTCGTTCACCAAAACATCCCCATGCTAATTTCGGCATTCCTCATAACATTTCGTCAAAACTAAAAACAGATCGCCCCTTTACAGAGAAGTATAAATATGACCGCGTTTATACAGTGCAGTGCGAGGCATAGGTGGCGAAACTCGTAGACCATTGATCCACCACATAAAAATCGGTAGCGTTCATGAGCACCATAGGTACAATGTAGATGGACGTAGCTGACATGTTATCGGCTGATTGAAAAATGGACAGGCAACAGAGCAACAGGCTGGATAAATTAACCACGCCTCAAACACCAAGGAACAGGCAACAGGCTGGATAAGTCAGCCCCGCCCCAAAAACCAAGGTGTCCGGCCGGCAGGGCCCGGCTTGCCATCTGTCAGCCATTCCCTCGCGAGTCCGACCGGCGCGGCCGTCCGAGGCGTTGTCCTCAGGCATACTCCTCGTAGCTATGGTATAACTGCCTTTTTCGGAATCCAATGGTTAATTGGCTGCAAATTGCGCTGGAACTGTCATAAGCCTCATCCCTGAATGCGTGATTAACGTTAAACATTGAATATGGCTAGATAAGCACTACATCATTGACATTTTGATCATTGACGAAAGTTTTAAATAAACAGTCATTGTTTACGCACAATACCGATGAATTTTGCACATCGACTAACCATTTTGTGAAATGTCGAAGCATTATGACAATCTGACAAAGTGTTTTGCCTATGACTAACATTGTGCTCAATGACAAAGAGTTATGCAGAATGGTTAAATGGAGTCCAGCCTGTTTTGCCGACCGTCAAACAGTGATGCACACCGCCGATGGGTTATTCTGAATGACGCTTGTCCAAACTGATGCCGAAATGGTTATGACGATTGGCCATCGAACAACGCAAAAAGGTGTATTAATAGCATACTGTCAGGGGGCTTTTTTTTACAATTACTTATGTAAGGTTTTCGTACACTTTGACATTTGTCCTCAAAAGTGAAAAGAAGTATGTTGCATGTCCCCATTGCTGACTTGCGTAGTTGCAGTTTTAATGGCACAATTCTTAGGGCACATAAGGTGTTAAATCAGTCAGTTAAGTACATTTATTGACGTGTTTCTAGTTATCTAGTTGACAAACCTTGGACTAAGGGTTTAAGGGCTAAGAGACTAAGGGCGCGCATGTACATTCTTCTTGTGCATGCCATAATGTATGACACAGAGACTCAGGCTGGATACGTATCATTCCTCAATAGCTGGACAGCCGACAAAACTCGCTCGGTCACTTCCGCTTACCTCCGAACAATCGCCACAACTCTGCAGTTCACTAAGATTCACTCAGCCTCCCACTCCCACTTTCCCCCTCCTCCGCCCGTGTCGGCCGGTCACCCGGAACCGATACAGGCGCTGTAGCGTGCCCAGTCGTTGGTGAACTCTGCGTAGTCGCGCACGCCGATGCAGCCTTCGATGCCGTAGTAATGCGTCAGCATCATATCGTCGCAGTCGATGGTGCCATTCTCGTCGCAGTCGGTGGCCAGCGCGCGCATGTAGAGCCTGACCACGGTGATGGCGCACTTGGGGTCGACGGTGCACGTCTCGAAGGTGCGGTCTCCGTAGAGCGGCACCTCCGTGGTGATGTTGCTGTGGTTGAAGTAGGGCTCGGTGATGCGGTAGCCGCCGCACGCGCCCCCCTGGCAACCCTGCTGCCAGTCGCACTGGCGCGCCTCGCAGATACAACGCAGACAGGATGTGGAGATGTCGGCGCCGCGCGGAGCCGCCTGGCGCCGCTGTATGTGGTGGGTGCCGGGCGTCAGATGGGCGCCCACAGAGACGCCCATGGAAACGCCCACAGAGACGCCCACGGAGACGCCCACCAGCAGCAGTAGGCACAGCGTGAGACGGCACATGCTGAGCAGACTGCCCCACTGCGGCAGTGCCGGTCGCTGGCTGGCCTCTGTTGTGAACAGTGGCGCCTCTGGTCGGAAAACCCGACGGTCTGATAGCTGCGTGCTCCTGGTGGCGGCACTGTCAGCGGTCAGTGGCCAGGGGAGTCCCGCGATCGATGATAATGCTCACGGGATGCGTCGCTGCAGACTACTACTGACGTGCCGATGTGTTGGGACGCTAAAATCAACCACACGCCAACTGAGAATGTCACGCGAAGACGGGCTGTAACACAGTACCTTAGTTTCAGCAACAGACGCAATTATACACAACTGCACCAAACTAACACCAAACTGGCACCAAACTTAGTGAGAGCTAAGCTTGACTGAACTGCTGCTGCGCCGCACCGGAATATGTCCTCCAGAACCGGTTTTTGCACTGTCGGCGATTAACATTGAAGCTTAGCCATCACCGCTGCGCCGTATATTGTTGTGTTATGCATGCGGTCGACTCGAGGAAGTGAGGTGGGAATAATGCAGTCGGTATTAATGTGTGGCTGGAACCTGGGATGACCATAGAATCTGGAACCTTTTTGGTCTTAGTGTGGTGTTCATTTCTCACGATGTGTCAGATTGCTATACATTTGTCACGCGATGTGTCAGATGTGTGTCATCTGACTGGTTTGACCGGAATAGTGTCAGATGTGACACAGTTGATGTGGTATGTCAATGTGACAAAAAGCTGTGAACTTTCTCCCATTCGGCTGTGCTCTGCTTCAATAGCACCTGCTTTCTGATGGTCTGATAGTTTGGTGTCCCTAGCTAGTACCGGATCGGCCTCTGTCCAGTCCCTGGCTGGGGCCATCTGATTATTATTCAAGTTTAAATATGCAGCATTCAGCTCATGTAAACAGTGTCAGCCGGTCGTGGAGCCGTCAGGTGGCGAAGGGAGCGGAGCGTAAAGGGAGTCGTTGAGCGCAACGTACCGCTCCCATTGTATTCCAATTCCAACGGATAACGGGAAATGAGGCCTCCATGTTATTGTTTTGTTTTGTGTGTGTGTTGTTTGTTTTTACCCGATCATTTGCGCGTATATTGTTTCATATTTTGTCAAACTGTTTTTTTTCTTTAGTTTTAGTAGTTGACCTAAAGATAAGAAGCAATGTGATACCATAAAACCGCAGTTTCGATAAAAATGACCGGTGCTCGGCCTTAGCAATCAATGTGAGGTTTAATGATGACGAAAGTATGTTCAGTGCCGTTTCTGTGCATTAACTATCCGTTTTTGGGCGCTAAATATCTGCAGCCATAAGTAGCTATGTTTTTCCGCCACTTTGACCCTCTTTATCTCCTCTATGCCTCCGCAGACCTGGTGTGAGGGCGTGTCGCGCCGCTCGCACCTGCTGAGCGCCACGGCCGGCGGACAGATCCTGCTCTGGACCTCGCGGCTGGTGGCCGTCACCGAGCACCACTGTCGACCCACCTCGCGACCCGACCTGACCCGGCTGGCCGACGGGCGCCTGGTGGCCCTGCTGCCGAGGGAGAACGACACAACTGTGGTCGACCTGGAGAAGGTGAGACGATGAGGAGGGAGAAGGAAGGAAGAGGGAGAGATGGTGCCAGGATACGTGGCCCGGGAGTGGTGGGGTGGTTTGTGACTTGATGGGAAAGTGATCCATTATACAGTCTATAGGATTAGCAAGCATCTAACAAGAACAAGCATTTGGCGTATAAAGAACTGAACCGCATAGCTTTCTTGCTGTTGCCCTTGGGCCCATGGATGACAGGAATTTTTGTCAAGAAATTATTTTCAATTTCCTCACGGCCCTGTTGTTGACTCTAAGGCCTAAGCTGGTTTGTTCCGTAACTAGTATATACCTAAGCCTGTATGTGAGGTATAACTGACCCCGCCCCATGACCAGCCCCTGACCTCTTCCCCGGACTGTGTCCCTCAGATGAGCTGTGTGGCCAGTTTCGGGGACCACACTGCCGACGTGACCGCGGTGGCCGCCACCAACCACAGCCTCGTCTCGGCCTCACTAGATGGCAGTGTGCGCCTGTGGCGGCTCGAGCAGAGCGGGCTCGCCTCCACAGATACGGCCCTGCTCGCACTGGAGGTCCTCCACCTGACTCCCGACGGCGCCTCCTGCCATCTGGCAACCGTCAGCCGGCGCGGTCACGTGACCGTCTGGCAAATGGACTGGGCCGGCACGGAGATGCCGGCGGCCGTCTACACGGTCAACATACTGGAGAAGGAGAAAAATGTGAGACTTCCAGTCAGCCCTCCGTTCCATCGCTTCCATCCTCAGGTCGATACAGAAGTCCTTCTCCTCCACGCCGCAACCCCCCTCCGGGCTGGACAGGCAACTTTATCTCATGCGGGCTGCTCTCTTGGAGCGGCACCGCTGCTCCCGAGGGAGCGCACCCCGTAGCCGGGTGCAGTGAGTACCTTGGGGCTGGGTGGCCTGTCTTCTGGACGGGCTCAGCCCCGGTGACTCACTAGGTTGCCTGCCCAGCCCAATGTCTCCTCCTACATCCTATCATCCTCCCGGCTCTAAAATGGTCTCATTGGACCGAAAGGGCCTAACCCCCCCCCCCCCCAAAAAAAAAAAAAACGATCATCACCCTTTCCGTCGTTTCCATCCTCAGGACATTGAAGTCGTTCTCCACGCCTCAAACCCCTGCTCCGGACTGGACGGGCAACTTTATCCCATGCGGGAATGACCGTAAGAGCATGCCCGTAGCCGGGTGCGGTGAGTGCTTGGGGGCTGGTCGGCCTGTCCTCTGGACGGGCTCAGCCCCAGCGGCTCACCAGGCTGCTCGCCCAGACCAATGTCTCTCCCTAATTTTTATCATCCTCCCGGCTCTGCAATGGTCTCAATGGACCGAAAAGGCCTAACCCAACAAAAAGCATCTGTTCTGTCATTTCCATCCTCAGGATAGTCATCCTTCCCATCAGTTCCGCAAACCCCTGTTCCGTGCTGGACGGTCACCTGTTCGTACTCGTTAGTGCGAGCATTATCCATGTGCTGGGAATTGGGATGGGAAGTGCGCACCAACTAGGTATGCATTTAAGCCTATAGTCACCTCAATTCAAAATATGATATAGCTAGATCCCCTCACTGTGTTTTTTGCCACCACGGACTGCTTTATAACGCCCTCGTCATGTGCCACTTCTAATGCCCATCTGACCTCCTCCCTCCCCCCCGCCCCCGCCCCCCCCCCCCCACAGCCGGAGACGGTCTCCGTCCTGCTGGCCGCCATCGGCTCGGTGTCTGTGTGTGGCACCCCTCTCTGACCCCCCCCCCCCACCCCACAGCCGGAGACGGTCTCCGTGCTGCTGGCCGCCATCGGCTCGGTGTCTGTGTGTGGCACCCCTCTCTGACCCCCCCCCCCCCCCACCCCACAGCCGGAGACGGTCTCCGTGCTGCTGGCCGCCATCGGCTCGGTCTCCGTCTCCGTCCCCGAGGGCCGCGGTGCCGCAGACTCTGTCTCGTTCACCGCCGGCTGCCTGACGGGCTCGGTGCTGCTACGTCTGGACGTGACTGTACCGCTGGGAGGAGCGCTCGCCACTGGAGGCGGCTCCCACTCTCTGCTGAGACAGACGGTGCCGGCCGACGCGCCTGTGCTGTGTCTGGCTGTTGGCCGCGCCCGCTCACTGCTACTGGGAGACAGCCTGGGACGGGTCAACGTGTATGACGCAGAGATGAAGAGACACGCCCGGTACCGCTGGTGAGTCGGGAGGGGTTTGTTTGTGGTTGTGGGACGTTTAATGAGACGGGAGGCAAACTCCAAGCGACCGGCTTTAGGAACAGTAGAGATCATTCATGGTAAAATATGAGTCGAACCTGGGGATTGGCGCACTGACTGATGATGTTAATTGGATGTAGCTTAACCCGCGCCCTGGTGTGGGTCTGAGCCACCTTCGCCCTGGTGGGGGGGGGCCAAAATGACCCCCCCCCCGTCTAACTCGAAAACGAAGAGGGCTAGGAAGACGCGGAAAAAAGCAAACGAAAGCCCATAACAAGTACGTTCGAAAGTATTTCGGTCATTTTTTCGCTAAGGTCAATATTGAGGTCGCTAGAGGTCATCATAGGTCAAATTTCAGTGTTTTCGGTGTTGCCGGACATATTCCGCTGTAGCTCGGAAACTAGAAGAGCTAGAGAGCCGCGGAAAAAAGCAATCGATAGCTCTTTTCAAGCTCTTTCGCCAAGGTTCGTCAGATTTGACCTCAGCTCAACGGTTTGGCCTACAGAGGTCATGCAAGGTCAACTTGGCAAATTTCGTTGAAAATGTTTTTAACTATAGCATGCATTCACGAGAAAATAGAGAAACGATTCATGCACCATCGTGCTTGGCTCGTCGAGACGCGTCGAATGATATATAGTTTGACCTCGAAAGGTCATTTTGAAAATTTGACCTCAGGTGAAGGTCATGACCTTACCGAAATAGGTCATGCTGCATATCATTCGATCCGCATTGACGAGACAAACACGATAAACGTCGAACGGAGTCTCTATCTCTATTCAATAACAAGTAAGTGCAGAAAAACCGCTGGTGACCTCTGGTGACCAGGGAGATGACCTAGCGTGACCTCAGCGAGGTCACAAGCAAATGGTTTCACATGGGCTGTGATTTGCTGACCCAAGACACTTCAATAACGAAATATAGGAACAATCACGCCCGATTTAGCTGAAAAACAACTACTTTTCGATTCTCCCATTGACTTATAATGGGGAGCAGCGATGACCTGACCTGACCTTAGGTCACATTTATAAAAAATCCGAGATAGCCATTTTGTAGAGCTGGGTGACATCTTCAAGTACTGTAAATTTTACATCGATCGGATAAAAGCTGTGCCTTTGAGAGAGCTTTGAACTTTTTTAGAGGTGGTGTCAGTTTTGGTGACCTTGTGACCTGACCTGACCTGACCCGAACCCCCAAAAAAAGGACATGATGTAAAAATGTTGAATAAACAGCTATACAAAGTTTCAGGGCGCTAACTCAAGTGGTTTCTGAGTTATCGCTGAAAAACCACAGGGGGGGGCCAAAATGGCCCCCCCCCCCACCAGGGCGAAGGTTAATGATACCTGACACGAGTTGAGTGTTTCGGATGGGTTGTAGTTGTCGAAGTTTGGTCCCTGCCTTGATCTGGTGGACCGGTGGTGACTCGGTGACCTTTGTGGCTCTCTCTGGCTGGCTCAGGTGACCTGTCTGACTGTTCTGCTGTCTGGCTGTCGTGCGTTGTCTGACCCCGGGTGACCTGTCGTTTGACCCGGTGACCTCTCCGCCCCCAGCGGCGCCGGCTCTGACCCGTCCGTTACCCACATCATCTGTCCGAGCGGAGAGGAAGTGGTCATCACCTGTGACCGAAACGGCATGGTCTGCACACTCAAACAGACCGACAAGCTCAACATTCTGCAGTGAGAGAGGGCAGAGGGGAGATCTCAGAGAGCTAAGCTGTCGGCGGCGACAGATAAATTTTCCGAGCTAGGTGCTATATGGCTCAGATTTCATTATAAACAGCAATTCATGCTTAATTTCGTAAACTGAAAAATGAATGTTTTTGTCTTTTATTTGTTTCTTTTCTGAAAACATGCACTCATGGAGCTTGCCGTGCGGACGATGGCAGATATTTTTAAGACTTGAAAGAGAAAAAGCGAGCCGAGTGCGTTCCTTACCCCACACTGTATGTATATGTCAGCCCCTGTGACTGAGCTAGCAGTACCCCTGACCGACCTCCCCCCCCCCCGTTTCCCCCGCGTGCAGCGCCTCCTGGGAGCCGGCGCTGGAGACCTCTGTGGGTCTGACGCCGCCGCCGGCCGCCGGCGTCCAGCTGGACAAGGACTCGCCGCGGCCCGTCATCACGCCTCCGTCCGCGAGGGCCCGGCCGGCCGATCGGCGCGGTCCCGCGCCCGGCACCCCCACCGCCGTCCTGACCGGCGACGGTGGCCCCGTGGTGGTCGGAGACAGCGGAGGGCTGATCTGGTGTTCGCCGAAAATGAAACAGTCCTCCGACAGCGAGCATAAGAGCGTGAAGGTGAGTCCGCTGAGGGCGGAGATTGGGATTGGTACCTATATGAGGAGGACGGGTACTCGGAGGTTTGAATATCCGATGATTCACCATTGAGAAGCCGTCAGTCCTCTTGTATAGACCAGGTTAGGTCTTTTGCGGTTTCTTCCCTTTCGTAGAGAACTGATTTAGAAGACATAAAACACAACTGAATTTATTATGCTGACGTCGTCCATGTCATATTCTTAATATTTGGATAACAGGCATTTCCATGCAACCTTATATGATCTCTCTTTATTGAAACGTACATTCTACTTGCTCTTGCCACCTCCACCTAGCGAACCCACAGCAGGTAATGTACTCGTCCCTGGGTCAGCGCCACCCTCCCCGCCCCTCCCACGGAGGTCGGCCGTGCCGTCCGACCCGTTTGACCAGTCCCATCCTCTCCCGCCGGTCGGTTTTTTACCGACTGTGACGAACCATACCGGTTCAGCCGGTGTGGAGGCACTGACTAGCTGGTGCTCACTGACAACGGGTAGCGCAGTCGGATGGAGTGGTTTTGGGGCTCTGAAAATGATACTTTTGAGCTGAGTTACGTGCTAATTGCGTTTTCGTTCTTAATTACTTGATGTTGCCGCACCATTTACCGATGTTTCAACACGACCACAATAATCTCGCACGAGTTAACCTTCCAGGCGGTGGGGGGGGGGCATTTTTTTGCCCCCCCCCCTTTAGTTTTTTCAATATATCTCGAGAACCGCTGCGCCGATCGTCACCAAACTTTCAGTACCCTCCCGGGAACAGCTAGCGCACATGGTGACCAAATTTTTTTCCAAAGGCTGTGATAGGTTGGCCGCTATTGACGTCAGAGTGACGTCATTTTTGCCATTTTCGACCCAAAAAAAGGTTTCGCGGGAAGAGCTGTCAGGCCTACAGCTTTAGAGATACAGAAAAATGTTTCAGACATAAAAGGTGTGGAATCAAAAGGGCTACAAAACTGCTATTTCGGTTTTTCAATGTTTTTTGGATTTTGACCCCCAAAAATAAAAAAATAGATTTTTTAAATAATAGCCAAAAAAATCCAAAAAGTTTTTTGAATTTCGAAAAAAAAACGGAATATATGTGATAGTCCCTACCGCCTTCTATCTACATACCAAATTTGAGATCGATACCTCTTTTTTTGGCCAAGTTATAGCGAAAAAACTGTTCAAAATTGATGACGTCAAATTTTCAAACTCAATTTTTAGCAATTCTAGACCTCGTAGCGCAAAGCAAAACAAAGACCACCATTAGACTCCCCGTGACGAGCTGCATCGAATCGATACCCATTTTATGCAAAAATATCAACTTTGAAATTTGACCTTTTTTGACCTGACCTTGACCTGACCTCCACCAGAAAGTGACCTAAACCGTACCTGATGGTCTTTTAACCAACACCATTGAGTTGGAAATGAAAAACTGGCCATAAAACATGCATCGCATAACCTTAGTAAAGTTGGGCTCATGTGGGGACCCTTGGTGACCTTTGGTGACCTGACCTGTGACCTGACCTGGTATGACCAGTAACCTCTAATAGCAACATATGTACTAGACAACTGACGCCTTATCGCTGATTTTCGACAAAATGCGTTTTACTCGGTGTTATAGCGCTTTCCCTAGAAGCCCCGTGAACGGTGAAACATTTTATCTTTGACCTGACCTGTGACGTCATCGGTGACCCCGAGGTCGATGAAATTCGGTTTCCTTCGACACCTTTGACAGGGCTATCGAACGCCGTTTGAATTTTCCGGATCCGTCCAGTAGTTTCGGAGATACGGGGGGGCAAAAAAATGCCCCCCCCCCGCGCGGAAGGTGGCTGGTAGGCCCACCTGACCGCCTGCCGGGTTAATCAATAGCACAATTTGTGTGCTCACAATAACTTAATTTACTTCTACTCTTGTCACAAATAATATTTGTTTTAAAGTCATAGAATATCGCGGTTGCCTTTGCCTTAGTTACGACTAACGACCGGCTCCTTGGCTCTGGTTACCCTCCCAGCTATGAGCATCTTCCCTCTGACTCCCTCCCCTTCTCCCCCAGGCGCACTCGGCGGCGGTGAGCTGGCTGGGCCGCGACCCGTCCCGACAGGACATTCTGTTCAGCTGCGGACGCGACCGGCGACTGGTGGTGTGGAGACTGCGCCAGCCGACGGCCACCGACGCACCCGTACCCGAACAGGTGCGCACGGGACGCCCGACCGACCGAGCTTCCGGCTACTTTTGAGTTATAACTGACTGTCAAATATACAGATTATACTAGAGGACTAGCGGATAGATACATGGATTGTAACGGGTACCCGGTACAGCTTATACGAGTATACAGGTGCCCGCCGCATGACCTTGCCAACCGCTTACGGTGAACTGTGAAGCAGTGTGCGTTGTTGAAGATGTGTGCAGTTTGCGTGTTGTGACTTGTGAGCTCTGGCAGGCAAAACGTGTACTACTTGTTTTCTGGGCATGCTATGTTTTGCGCTGTTTCAGGAATCCTGTGTGGTTCGTACGAGATTCCATCTTGTGTTGCAGGCCTGACAGTTGTTAGTTAGCTCATAACCATCGGTCTACAACTGATCTCTCTTCTGTCCCATGCAATCACCACTGATGACTGCTAAACTGACTTCTCACCCCCCCCCCCCACCCCCACGGATTCCTTCCGAGTCAGTCCGTAACCTGAACCCTCCATGGACCCACTCCAAGTCACCCGCTGACACCCCTCTGGGTCGACAGGTGGGCGAGTTCGAGTTCGCCAGCAGTGTGCGCGTGTGCGCGGCGCTGGCGGCCGCCACTGCGGGCGGGCCGAGCCGGCTGGTGTGTGGCGACGACCGCGGCCGGCTGCACTGCCTGCTGGTGGACCTGCAGCAGGTACCTGCTGCAGGTGTACCACCGGCTGCGCCGGATGCTTCCGACAGCAGCAGCGAGTCCAGCAGCGGGCTGAGGCTCGTGGCCAGGATACGGAACGAGCAGCGGGCCAGACGATGGAAGGAAGGGGTAGAGACAAAACTCACCGATACTGACATGTACCGGATGTGAGAGATACTAATTACTGACGCGGATACACAATCTGACCGAGTGTGACCGATACTGACAGATACCGGACTTGACCGATACCTACACAGATACTTGATAAGACGGACTGGTCAAGACTAGCATCAACACTAATAGAACCGAAAGGCTGATGCTACGGAGGCTGTTTGAATCCCGTGACCCGAGACCGAAACTGGACTGTCTGCGTCTGGAGTCTGCTTCAGTCCGATACTGGAGTCTGATCCAGTTTGTAGCTGCGCACGTAGGGTATAGCTCGTCTCTGCCTGTAGCCGTAGGTGTATTCTCCGCCAGCCTTCCCGTATAGTAGCGTCTCGCTCGGTGGTGGCTCTCCGCGCCGGTGTTTGGCGCTGCTCTGCCCGGGTTCAGCGGCTCTGCCAGGAGGGGGACGGTCGGCGCGCCGTCCCGCGCCACGCTCGCCGCGCTGTCCGCAGTCGCGCCGTTTGTGGCGCGCCAGGGACGGCGGTGAGGGCGGGTGCCGCGCGGGACGGCGCGCCGACCAGACTGAGTGCAGTGTGTTCACTGTACACTTTGCGTGGTGTGTGCTATCGTAGTGAATACCGAATTCCCTGCCAGCCTGCGTGGTATGTGATACGGGCCATGTATTTTCATTGGTGCTAAGAAATGTTTCGAAGAGATTTTAATTATGTGAACTTTTGCTATTGTGCCGTCCTGTTGTGCTGAAAGTGCATTTGAAACGCTGCATAGTCGTTCTTTCTGTGATGTCTTTTTTGTTAGAGTAGGTTATTGGTGCTAAAAAGGTGCTATTGTTTTAGGGGTTGTTTATAACCGTGATGCTGTGGCAACCCGCAATCACAGGGAGCGTTGTCTCTGTGCCTTGGGATTGCCACGGCATATTGTTTGCTCGAGCGCAATAATGTGTGCTGAACTGCTGACTGCTTTATAATCGATCACTTTAATACAGATATTCGTACCTGCAGACCGCCTTATCTTTCGCGGCGATGTTCCGAGTGCCCCTTGGTGTGGCAAAGTGACCAGTGGGGAGAAATCGAATGTCCGAACTAAGGACTGCTCGTACAACATCGACCGTGTAAGAAACAATAATATATTTATGTATAAATTCTCAACCACCAACAAAGTCGCGCGATAGAATGGCCGTCGTGTCACACTGCGGGCGGACGGGTCATCGCGAGCTCACCCGTCTGGAATGCACCCCGCCGCCGGGTCTCGGTCCCTCACCGCGCGAACGTCACGTGGTGGCGAACAGGTACAGCAGGCCCTTGGTGAAGTTGACGATCTCGGAGCCGCCCAGCTTGCTCTCGCCGTAGACGCGGTCCACAAAGCTGATGGGCACCTCGCCGATCCGGTATCCGAGCCGAGTGGCGCGCACGATCATCTCCATCTGAAAGACGTAGCCCTTTGATACGCACGAGTCGACCAGTCGGCGCAGCACGTCCCGCCGGTAGAGTCGGAAGCTGCCGGTCACGTCACTGGCGCCCGGCTGCAGCAGCACCTGGGTCAGGTAGTTGGCGCCGCGACTGATCAGCTTCCTCCGCAGGTCCCAGCCGCTGACCCCGCCGTCGCCGCTGTAGCGCGTGCCGGTGACAATGTCCAGGTTGTCTTTCTGCTGGAGCGCGATCATGCGCGGGATGAACTTGGGGTGGTGCGACAGGTCGGCGTCCATGATGATGATGAACTGGCCGCGCGCGTGCTTCAGGCCGTGGATGTAGGCGGTGCCGAGGCCGAGTTTCTTGGCGCGCGGCCGCAGCACGATGCGCTCCTCGCCGTAGATGCGCTGCAGCTGCTCAGCGGCCTCTAGGGTGCCATCCGGGCTGCCGTCGTCTATGACGATGATCTCAAACTCGACCTTGGCGTCTGTGAAGTACTTGACCAGCAGCCACACGATGATGGGCAGGTTCTCACGCTCGTTGTAGGTCGGCAGCAGAACGGTGTACATGGCGTCGTCCTCTCCCATTGTGGTGCAACAGCTGGCAGCAGTGGGTGATAGCCTCTCACCTGTGAGACCAGTTGAAGAGGGTGGTCAATATGCTGCTGATGTGGTAGAGATGTAGTATTCAGTAGGGTAGGTGGTAGGGCTATCAGATTCTATACTATTCAGTGAAAGAGCTATTTTTTCCAGAAAGTGTTCAACAATCAGCTGGGATTTTTCACTCCCAGTCTGTAGTGCCAGAGGGAGGGCCCTGTGTGAATTGCAGAAGTGCTGCCACCCATGAGCCCATGATGAGGTCAAAACCTCAGCTGGAGCCAAGTGCTCTCAGAGTTTAGACAGGCAGAGCCTGGTGGCTGCCACCTGCCATTGGGGTAACCACAACTAAAAAATGTGACTAGAAAGTAGACACCACCTCAAATGAACCATAACAAACAAATTATTTGCACCACAGCAAACCAGAAAAAACAAATAAATTGTGGATTCCAATTTACGTGGTAAAATAGGTAAGGGGGTAGCTACATAATGTTTGCAGCAAAAAAGTAAGCTTACAGCTGCTCCACAAGGCCGTGTCAGTGTGGCATAGGCAGCGGAACGGGGGGAGGGGGGGGCACTGGGGCACCAATCACCATACCCCCTTTGATTTTGGCATTTAAACATTAGCCCTATGGGCATTGCATGGAAAGAATGGGACCAAAAGTCGGCAGTGCCCCCCCCCCCCAATTGAAGGTGTTCCACCGCTACTGCAGTGTCAGTGTGGGTGTTCCACAAAAGCCATCTGAAAATCATGCACCAGTCACAGAAAAGCTCAACCTAAATCAATTATCAAAGCATAATTCACCAAAATACCACCTCAAGCAGCAATTAACAATACTGGCAACGGTTTATCTTTATATAGCCTTGCTTGCAACTATCGAGCTAACGGTAAGTAAAGGGCTCGACGGTTCGGGTTCGACCGTCTCTTGCCAAGGTCTTCAAAATTTCCCCAAATTTGAGCTAAAGTCTCGAGTGTTTATGGGGATGTTCGGCTTATTTCTCCGCTAGGCGGGACAACACTATTCGACCGCCACCCTTGCAGCCATTCTATAACTCAGGAACTACTGGACCGATCGGAACGAACGAAACACCATTCGAATCAGGGGGTACGATTTTATCAGCCGTTTCGAAGCTCGTGACCCCAGGTGACCTCGGTGACCTCAAGAGGTCAACTCGGCATTGACGCCTATTGCAGCCATTCTATAACTCAGGAACTACTGGGCCGATCGCGACGAAAACACCACCAGTCGAATCCGCGTATGCGATTTCATCAGCCGTTTCGAATATGGTGACCTCAGGTGACCTCGGTGACCTCAAAAGGTCAACTTAACGTTTTCGCCTATTGCAGCCATTCTATAACTCAGGAACTACTGGGCCGATCGTGACGAAAACACCACCAGTCGATTCAGCGTGTGTGATTTCATCAGCCGTTTCGAATATGGTGACCTCAGGTGACCTCGGTGACCTTGGGAGGTCACATGACCAATGTGGCCTATGGCAGCCATTCTATAACTCAGGAACTACTGGGCCGATCGTGACGAAAACACCACCAGTCGAATCAGCGTATGCGATTTCATCAGCCGTTTTGAATATGGTGACCTCAGGTGACCTCGGTGACCTTGGGTGGTCACATGACCGTTGTGACCTATGGCAGCCATTCTATAACTCAGGAACTACTGGGCTGATCGTGACGAAAACACCACCAGTCGATTCAGCGTATGCGATTTCATCAGCCGTTTCGAATATGGTGACCTCAGGTGACCTCAGTGACCTTGGGAGGTCACATGACCGTTGTGACCTATGGCAGCCATTCTATAACTCAGGAACTACTGGGCCGATCGCGACGAAAACACCGCCAGTCGAATCAGCGTATGCGATTTCATCAGCCGTGTCGAATATGGTGACCTCAGGTGACCTCGGTGACCTCAAAAGGTCAACTTAACGTTTTCGCCTATTGCAGCCATTCTATAACTCAGGAACTACTGGGCCGATCGCGACGAAAACACCACCAGTCGATTCAACGTATGCGATTTCATCAGCCGTTTCGAATATGGTGACCTCAGGTGACCTCAGTGACCTTGGGAGGTCACATGACCGATGTGGCCTACGGCAGCCATTCTATAACTCAGGAACGACTGGGCCGATCGCGACGAAAACACCACCAGTCGATTCAGCGTATGCGATTTCATCAGCCGTTTCGAATATGGTGACCTCAGGTGACCTCGGTGACCTTGGGAGGCCACATGACCAATGTGGCCTATTGCAGCCATTCTATAACTCAGGAACTACTGGGCCGATCGTGATGAAAACAACACCAGTCGATTCAGCGTATGCGATTTCATCAGCCGTTTCGAATATGGTGACCTCAGGTGACCTCGGTGACCTTGGGAGGTCACATGACCGTTGTGGCCTATGGCAGCCATTCTATAACTCAGGAACTACTATGCCGATCGTGACGAAAACACCACCAGTCGATTCAGCGTATGCGATTTCATCAGCCGTTTTGAATATGGTGACCTCAGGTGACCTGGGTGACCTTGAAAGGTCACATGACCGTTGTGGCCTATTGCAGCCATTCTATAACTCAGGAACTACTGGGCCGATCGTGACGAAAACACCACCAGTCGATTCAGCGTATGCGATTTCATCAGCCGTTTCGAATATGGTGACCTCAGGTGACCTCAGTGACCTTGGGAGGTCACATGACCAATGTGGCCTATTGCAGCCATTCTATAACTCAGGAACTACTAGGCCGATCGTGACAAAAACACCACCAGTCGATTCAGCGTATGCGATTTCATCAGCCGTTTCGAATATGGTGACCTCAGGTGACCTCGGTGACCTTGGGAGGTCACATGACCGATGTGGCCTATGGCAGCCATTCTATAACTCAGGAACTACTGGGCCGATCGCGACGAAAACACCACCAGTCGATTCAGCGTATGCAATTTCATCAGCCGTTTTGAATATGGTGACCTCAGGTAACCTCGGTGACCTTGGGAGGTCACATGACCAATGTGGCCTATTGCAGCCATTCTATAACTCAGGAACTACTGGGCCGATCGTGATGAAAACAGCACCAGTCGATTCAGCGTATGCAACTTCATCAGCCGTTACGAATATGGTGACCTCAGGTGACCTCGGTGACCTTGGGAGGTCACATGACCGTTGTGGCCTATGGCAGCCATTCTATAACTCAGGAACTAATGGGCCGATCGCGACGAAAACACCACCAGTCGATTCAGCGTATGCGATTTCATCAGCCGTTTCGAATATGGTGACCTCAGGTGACCTGGGTGACCTTGGGAGGTCACATGACCAATGTGGCCTATGGCAGCCATTCTATAACTCAGGAACTACTGGGCCGATCGTGACGAAAACACCACCAGTCGATTCAGCGTATGCGCTTTCATCAGCCGTTTCGAATATGGTGACCTCAGGTGACCTCGGAGACCTTGGGAGGTCACATGACCAATGTGGCCTGTTGCAGCCATTCTATAACTCAGGAACTACTGGGCCGATCGTGACGAAAACACCACCAGTCGATTCAGCGTCTGCGATTTCATCAGCCTTTTCGAATATGGTGACCTCAGGTGACCTCGGTGACCTTGGGAGGTCATTACCGTTGTGGCCTATGGCAGCCATTCTATAACTCAGGAACTACTGGGCCGATCGTGACGAAAACACCACCAATCGAATCAGCGTATGCGATTTCATCAGTCGTTTTGAATATGGTGACCTCAGGTGACCTCGGTGACCTTGGGAGGTCACATGACCGTTGTGGCCTATGGCAGCCATTCTATAACTCAGGAACTACTATGCCGATCGTGACGAAAACACCACCAGTCGATTCAGCGTATGCGATTTCATCAGCCGTTTCGAATATGGTGACCTCAGGTGACCTCAGTGACCTTGGGAGGTCACATGACCAATGTGGCCTATTGCAGCCATTCTATAACTCAGGAACTACTGGGCCGATCGTGACAAAAACACCACCAGTCGATTCAGCGTATGCGATTTCATCAGCCGTTTCGAATATGGTGACCTCAGGTGACCTCGGTGACCTTGGGAGGTCACATGACCGATGTGGTCTATGGCAGCCATTCTATAACTCAGGAACTACTGGGCCGATCGCGACGAAAACACCACCAGTCGATTCAGCGTATGCGATTTCATCAGCCGTTTTGAATATGGTGACCTCAGGTAACCTCGGTGACCTTGGGAGGTCACATGACCAATGTGGCCTGTTGCAGCCATTCTATAACTCAGGAACTACTGGGCCGATCGTGATGAAAACAGCACCAGTCGATTCAGCGTATGCAACTTCATCAGCCGTTACGAATATGGTGACCTCAGGTGACCTCGGTGACCTTGGGAGGTCACATGACCGTTGTGGCCTATGGCAGCCATTCTATAACTCAGGAACTAATGGGCCGATCGCGACGAAAACACCACCAGTCGATTCAGCGTATGCGATTTCATCAGCCGTTTCGAATATGGTGACCTCAGGTGACCTGGGTGACCTTGGGAGGTCACATGACCAATGTGGCCTATGGCAGCCATTCTATAACTCAGGAACTACTGGGCCGATCGTGACGAAAACACCACCAGTCGATTCAGCGTATGCGCTTTCATCAGCCGTTTCGAATATGGTGACCTCAGGTGACCTCGGAGACCTTGGGAGGTCACATGACCAATGTGGCCTGTTGCAGCCATTCTATAACTCAGGAACTACTGGGCCGATCGTGACGAAAACACCACCAGTCGATTCAGCGTCTGCGATTTCATCAGCCGTTTCGAATATGGTGACCTCAGGTGACCTCGGTGACCTTGGGAGGTCATTACCGTTGTGGCCTATGGCAGCCATTCTATAACTCAGGAACTACTGGGCCGATCGTGACGAAAACACCACCAATCGAATCAGCGTATGCGATTTCATCAGTCGTTTTGAATATGGTGACCTCAGGTGACCTCGGTGACCTTGGGAGGTCACATGACCAATGTGGCCTATGGCAGCCATTCTATAACTCAGGAACTACTGGGGCGATCGTGACGAAAACACCACCAGTCGATTCCGTGTATGCAATTTCATCAGCCGTTTTGAATATGGTGACCTCAGGTGACCTCGGTGACCTTGGGAGGTCACATGACCAATGTGGCCTATTGCAGCCATTCTATAACTGAGGAACTATTGGGCCGATCGTGACAAAAACACCACCAGTCGATTCAGCGTATGCGATTTCATCAGCCGTTTCGAATATGGTGACCTCAGGTGACCTCGGTGACCTTGGGAGGTCACATGACCGTTGTGGCCTATTGCAGCCATTCTATAACTCAGGAACTATTGGGCCGATCGCGACGAAAACACCACCAGTCGATTCAGCGTATGCGATTTCATCAGCCGTTTCGAATATGGTGACCTCAGGTGACCTCAGTGACCTTGGGAGGTCACATGACCGTTGTGGCCTATGGCAGCCATTCTATAACTCAGGAACTGAGGTCACCTGAGGTCACCATATTCGAAACGGCTGGTGAAATCGCATACGCTGAATCGACTGGTGGTGTTTTCGTCGCGATCGGCCCAGTAGTTCCTGAGTTATAGAATGGCTGCCTTAGGCCACATTGGTCATGTGACCTCCCAAGGTCACCGAGGTCACCTGAGGTCACCATATTCGAAATGGCTGATGAAATCGCATACGCTGAATCGACTGGTGGTGTTTTCGTCACGATCGGCCCGGTAGTTCCTGAGTTATAGAATGGCTGCAATAGGCGAAAACGTAAAGTTGACCTTTTGAGGTCACCGAGGTCACCTGAGGTCACCATATTCGAAACGGCTGATGAAATCGCATACGCTGATTCGATTGGTGGTGTTTTCGTCACGATCGGCCCAGTAGTTCCTGAGTTATAGAATGGCTGCCATAGGCCACATTGGTCATGTGACCTCCCAAGGTCACCGAGGTCACCTGAGGTCACCATATTCGAAACGGCTGATGAAATCGCATACGCTGATTCGATTGGTGGTGTTTTCGTCACGATCGGCGCAGTAGTTCCTGAGTTATAGAATGGCTGCCATAGGTCACAACGGTCATGTGACCTTCCAAGGTCACCGAGGTCACCTGAGGTCACCATATTCAAAACGGCTGATGAAATCGCATACGCTGAATCGACTGGTGGTGTTTTCGTCACGATCGGCCCAGTAGTTCCTGAGTTATAGAATGGCTGCCATAGGCCACATTGGTCATGTGACCTCCCAAGGTCACCGAGGTCACCTGAGGTCACCATATTCGAAACGGCTGATGAAATCACATACGCGGAATCGACTGGGGGTGTTTTCGTCACGATCGGCCCAGTAGTTCCTAAGTTATAGAATGGCTGCAATAGGCGAAAACGTTAAGTTGACCTTTTGAGGTCACCGAGGTCACCTGAGGTCACCATATTCAAAACGGCTGATGAAATCGCATACGCTGATTCGACTGGTGGTGTTTTCGTCGCGATCTGCCCAGTATTTCCTGAGTTATAGAATGGCTGCCATAGGCCACATTGGTCATGTGACCTCCCAAGGTCACCGAGGTCACCTGAGGTCACCATATTCGAAACGGCTGATGAAATCGCATACGCTGATTCGACTGGTGGTGTTTTCGTCGCGATCGGCCCAGTAGTTCCTGAGTTATAGAATGGCTGCCATAGGTCACAACGGTCATGTGACCTCCCAAGGTCACCGAGGTCACCTGAGGTCACCATATTCAAAACGGCTGATGAAATCGCATACGCTGAATCGACTGGTGGTGTTTTCGTCACGATCGGCCCAGTAGTTCCTGAGTTATAGAATGGCTGCCATAGGCCACATTGGTCATGTGACCTCCCAAGGTCACCGAGGTCACCTGAGGTCACCATATTCAAAACGGCTGATGAAATCGCGTACGCTGATTCGATTGGTGGTGTTTTCGTCACGATCGGCCCAGTAGTTCCTGAGTTATAGAATGGCTGCTATAGGTCACATTGGTCATGTGACCTCCCAAGGTCACCGAGGTCACCTGAGGTCACCATATTCGAAACGGCTGATGAAATCGCATACGCTGATTCGATTGGTGGTGTTTTCGTCACGATCGGCCCAGTAGTTCCTGAGTTATAGAATGGCTGCCATAGGTCACAACGGTCATGTGACCTCCCAAGGTCACCGAGGTCACCTGAGGTCACCATATTCAAAACGGCTGATGAAATCGCATACGCTGAATCGACTGGTGGTGTTTTCGTCACGATCAGCCCAGTAGTTCCTGAGTTATAGAATGGCTGCCATAGGCCACATTGGTCATGTGACCTCCCAAGGTCACCGAGGTCACCTGAGGTCACCATATTCGAAACGGCTGATGAAATCACATACGCGGAATCGACTGGGGGTGTTTTCGTCACGATCGGCCCAGTAGTCCCTGAGTTATAGAATGGCTGCAATAGGCGAAAACGTTAAGTTGACCTTTTGAGGTCACCGAGGTCACCTGAGGTCACCATATTCGAAACGGCTGATGAAATCGCATACGCGGATTCGACTGGTGGTGTTTTCGTCGCGATCGGCCCAGTAGTTCCTGAGTTATAGAATGGCTGCAATAGGCGTCAATGCCGAGTTGACCTCTTGAGGTCACCGAGGTCACCTGGGGTCACGAGCTTCGAAACGGCTGATAAAATCGTACCCCCTGATTCGAATGGTGTTTCGTTCGTTCCGATCGGTCCAGTAGTTCCTGAGTTATAGAATGGCTGCAAGGGTGGCGGTCGAATAGTGTTGTCCGCTAGGCGGCAGCCCTGCCTTCTTTGGACACAAAGTTGCGGCGGCAAATGCGCCACTTGCTTTTTAGTGGCTTCATTGGCTTGATTGTACGTGAAGTTTCTGTCGTTGTCGGTGAAGGGGCTCGCATTGCCGTCGATTTTTATCAATTTATGTGATTTTTCACGAAATGGGTGGCTACTGTGTAGTCAGCAACTGCAAGAACCGCGGGGGACACGGATTTCCAAAGGATAAAAGGCTCAGAAAGGCTTGGATTGATCGCATCAGAAGAGAGGCGAGCTGGGCACCAAGCAACCATTCCAAAGTCTGTCACGAGCATTTCACGGATGGGGATTATTTGCAACGGACGGCTTTTGGTGAGCAAGGCTACTTTATCACTCTACTTAACATTTTCTAGTAGCTGTATGCTTTTGTCATGTTTTGGTTCTCATCATTAAACTTCAGGTATAAAAGTCTCGATCTGCAAACATTGAATAGAATCCACACTTTGTTACCCAGTACCCTTTGACTATGGAGTAATACCTAATATTTTTCATGGTTACAGGTGCCAAGCCAATCAGGAAGGAGCTGAAGCCAGGTGCAGTGCCTTCAGTCTTCTGGCGGAAAGCTGATCGCCAGGATCAAGGTCGAGAAGTCAGGAAGAAAAGAAGACTAGCTAAGGAGTTTGAGGAGGAAGTTGAAAGGCGCATGCAAAGTGATCCAGCTGAGGAACAGGTGGGTACAGGTGGTTAATATCCTAAAGAGTACACTGAGACTTAACCCTATTCCTGGCGGGCTCCGCCGGGACAAGAAACTGAAACTGGCGGGGGGCCGATTCGGCCCCCCCTTCAAATCTCAAAAATACACATGGCAGCGACAAACGGCAAACGGCATTTGATAGGTCATTTAAAGATCTACAACTTTAACCCGCGCACCGACGGGGGTCTGCGCCAACTTAGTACCGACGGGGGGGGGGGGGGGGGGTGGCGGATGACCGCCCCCCCCTGAGATCTCGAGAACGAGGCAAGATAGCGACAAGCGGTAAACGGCATCGGATACGCCGGTCAAGATCTACAATTTTTACTAAGGTCATTTTCAGGTCAGGTCAAAGATGACGTCACAGGGGTCGAAAAAGTCAAAATGGCGGCGCTAAATATGGAGAGTTTTTCTCGAATAACTTTCGAATTAGTCAAGATAGGAACAAACTAAGGGCATCATCGTGATCCTCTCGTCAATCCGCATCGAATGATATATATGTTGACCTCGAAAGGTCAAGGTCAAAGGTTGACCTCAGGTCACGTGACCTCGAGGTCATCATGTATATCATTCGATGCGTCTTGACGAGCTGAACACAATGAGACCATCCACGCGTCTGTATCTTGTTCCTGTACGGAGTTATTGGCCAAAAACCTTTGGTGACCTTTGATGACGTCACATGACCTCACAGCTGCCCAACAGCAAAACAGACCTCAAGGTAGTGAAGGTTGATCGTATATGAAGTCATGTATGGTATATGGGGCCATTCCGACCCGTTTTAGTGGTAAAAACAGGGAGTTGATTTTTCCCCCATTGACTTATAATGGGGAGGTCGCGAAATTGACCTGACCTTAGGTCACCGATATCAAAATTCCGAGATATACAAATTGTAGCTACTAATGACCTAATAACATCCTGCGACTTTCAAAGGCCTCCGACATCTACTGTAGCTCTGGCACGGTGACAAAGTTGCAAAAAAGTGACTTGAGGTTGGGTCATTCAAAGTGACCTGGTGACCTGACCTTGAAAGGTAGGAGGTTCAAACTTGCACACCATGTGTAAAATTGATAAGGGAATAGTCATACCAAATTTCGCGGCGCTACGCGCCGCGGTTTTCCCGCTATTCGCGAAAAACCTCAGGGGGGCGGATATCCGCCCCCCCGTCGGTGCGCGGGTTAACATAAGACATTTTCAGGTCAGGTCAATATTGAGGTCACCAGAGGTCATCAACGATAAAATGTTTTGGAATTAGTTACCTATATAACTTTTAAACTAAGAAACATAGAGACATAAAACCAATATATTTTTGTTGCTCTCGCCGAGGCGATGCGAAATAAGTACCGTAAAATGGGGTGTTAAGGGACAGTGGGGTGTTAAGGGACAGTTGCTGGGGAAAAACTTTGAGTCATATTGACTTCCTAATTTGAGAAGGTTCAATAAAAACTTCAGTGTGGTAGTTGACACTGTTTTGCTCTTGACCATAGGAGAAAATGGTATGGTTTTTCATGCAAGTGATTTGGTTCAAAAATGGATTTGAAAATCATGTACATTTTCACAAAATTGAAACATCTCCAAAACTCTGTGTGTACCACATAAACTAGTGGGTGTACAGGGAAAATGAATGCATAGGTGTATTGTCACATGTATTGCACATGTTTCCTGAAAAACTTGTGCAAATCCACCCATTCATTCATCATCCTCTTCCTCTTTTCCTGATACATGCATATTTTGAGGTGGATGTGGGGTGCTAAGGGACAGGGAAGAAAAAATAAAAAAATAAAATCTAAATACAATTTAATTAAGTAGGCATGGAAAACACCAAATTCCACATAAAATGCTGGCAAGTTCATGCTTTTATCTCTAACACATCTTAAGTTATGTAACAAAATATCTCAACACTCTTTTACAATGATGGGTCAATGGAGACTGATGTAGGTAAATGTGATGTCATTATAAAAAGGCTAAAACAAAGAGGGCAACATGCTGACAAGTGACTAGCTTCAACATGGGTTTTTATTGATGACAGAAGATTACTTTTTGGTTCTGTTTAGTGTTTACCTTATAATTAGCACATTTTCCACAAGCGTAAACTGCATTACACGTAATTGGCTAAAAAGGTCATTAGTGGTGAATGAACCTCACTTGTTTTGTGACAGAATATGCAAAACATTTCAATAAATAAATTGTGTGGCCTTCCACACCCCAATTGTGGGCATTTGATGACCATTTCTTGGAATAATATCGGTGTCCCTTAACACCCCACATTGGGGTGCTAAGGGACAGTAATGAAAAATAATAAAAAATTATATTCAGGTATAAATCTTAAAAACTTAAATGTGGCAGGCATGTAAAGCACCAAATTCCACATAAAATGCTGACAATTTGATGCTTCTATCTCCAACCCTCCTTGAGTTATATAGCAAAACACCTCAAAACTGTCCCTTAACACCCCATTTTACGGTACCTATGTGATGACCTTCACAGTTCAATTTGAAATTTGACCTGAGGTCAAGGTCAGGTCATTCATCAATGAGGTTGTGGGGCATGGTCATGCTGCATACCAAACGACGCGCCTTGACCAGGCGAGCAGTTTGGTACCACTTACAAGTCTTTAGCACCATCATGTCGTGATTTATTGACAGAAAAACGATTTATGACGTCACATGACATCAGATGACCTTTGCCGGTGCCCCTGTCAATTAGCGGCACCAGGATCATCACCGATGAGATAATCTTCCATATTACTGAAAGAATTGGGTGGTTTTGACTCGTTTACACTTTACACGAAGCAGGAGGCGTTTCAATATTTTCCCATAGGCTTGCAATGTAAAGGTCACGAGTCTGGCTGGCCTGACCTCAGGTTACATATATGAAAATTCTGAGATATACAAATTGCACATACTGGTACCCTAACTAAAACCTGAAGAGAAGAAATTGATCGGTCAAAAACTCTAGCTCTGGCGTGATTGCAAACTTTTCTGAGGTGGGGTCACCAAACTGCCTCTGGACCTGACCTGACCTGACCCGGCAACTTTTTTGTCAAAATGTGCGCCATGAATGTTTAGAAAAAGTCACCGAGCATGAGCTTTCAGTCTTGCAGCGTTTGGCAATGGCACAAGAAAAACCTGAAGGGGGGCCTTAAAGGCCCCCCCGCCAGGAATTGGGTTGAAGCAAAATTTGGCATTCACATCATCAGTGATTAGGAGGTGGGAGTTGATGGTTTTGTTCAACTCTGAAGCAGTTTTAGGGCACTGATGATAGAGTTGACAATTTTCTTCCTGGCCACTTTGGGATTTGAAATTTTGATTTACTATCACAATAGGTACCTACTTAAAAACAGCATAATAAACTAGCTGAATTATTATGGTAAAATGCCTTCCTTTGCTAAGTTATTGGCATCACTGCTGCCGCAACACTTTCTTTCATTTCAGTTGACAACTGCACTTGAACTTCTGGTTTTTGTCTGCTAGCTTAGTGGATCTTTCTAGTCCATACGCTTTGATGGTGTGGAGATTTCATCATAAAGTCAGGTGGTGCCTATTATCATCGTCTTTCTGTCATCCACAGGTGCAGTTCTGGATTGATGAATTTGAGAGCGAGGAGACTGTGCCAGATCCTGTCATTGAAGTTTCTGTTGTCACCACTGCTGGAGATGACATCAGTGCCACTTCATCTGGTGAAACTGTTGTGGACGAAACAGTAGGTGATGCAAGCTGCCCACCAACTGAGACTTGCCACAATCTAGAGAATGATAAGTGTGTCGGCGCTGATTTTCGCTCTGGATATTTGGATATCAATAATCTACGTAGGCCGAATGACTTAACTGAGTTGACAGGCTGTCCAGACGAAAAGCAGTTTCACTTGTTGGTTTCCATGTTTGAGCCTGAGTACAAGAGGCAAAAATGTCTTTCGCAAAGGATTAGCCCAAATAATCTGTCCTTCTCAAACAAGCTTTTTCTGACGCTAGTCAAATTAAAGCACAACTTCACCTGCAGGGTGTTGGGGGTGATGTTTGATGTCTCAGGTAGTACGGCTGCGGAAACGTTCCGTTTCATGATAGCACTGATGCATCGCGTGCTGAGCCAAATAAAGATTTGGCCCACGGATTATGACCAAAAGCTCCCTGTTGTGATAGTGGACTGTACTGAACTGAAGATAACCCGTCCATCCAACCCTACTCTTCAGTCACAGACTTGTTCCACATATAAAAGCACAAACACTGTGAAGATACTGATCGGTATAACACCCAGAGGTGTTATATCCTTTGTGTCTGATGCTTACTCAGGCAGTGCCTCAGATCAACAAGTGTTTGAAAGAAGTGGAATTATGCTGCACTTGAGGGAGGGAGACATGGTCCTTGCTGACCGAGGGTTCAATGTGCAGCACTGCTTGGCAGCGAAGGGTGTGAAGGTGATCACACCCGCCTTCTTGAAAGGCAGGGCTCACCTACTCCCCTCAGAAGTCATCAGGTCTAGAATGATCACACGACAGCGCATCCATGTGGAAAGGCTGATTGGCTTGACAAAAGCATATGCATTTGTCAGGGGGCCTATTCATTACAAACATGTGCCCATCATCAGCCAGGCATATTACGTCGCTAGTTTTCTGTGCAACCTCCGCCCTTGTATCGTTACACGTTGAGGAATGTGATGGGAGGCTGATTAGTTGTCTCACGTGCCTCAGAAACGTGTTCATGGGATGTGATTCACATGCTAGTTTCATTTTACGGTAGACTGCGTTTTGGGCAAATGAAACAGGTGTCTGAGCAAAGAAGTAGTATTGCAGTCAGTCGTGACCGTATGTACATGTTTGGAGACGTCCGCAGGACCCTGCCGGATATGTGTTGTCTGTCGTTGCAAAATAACCGTGTCGTACTCGAGTCGTCGAGTGTGTCGAGTCGAGTGAGAAATGTCGAGTGTGCTGAACCGTCCTGTGGATTGTTCAAGCCTTGGTTCAAACTACATGAGTTGTACCGTCTACGTTAACCTTGGTCAGGACCGTGTGCGTCCTTTGCATCCGACGTGCGATTCTGTGGCATAATTCGATGTCAATGACTAATGAATACATATTACATGTTATCCTTTTTGCTACTTTTTCTCGCTGTGGGTGACGCTATATTGCGTTGTTTAAGGCCTCACCAGACGCCAGCTGTCCCAGTGCGACTTGGGAGAGGAGGACGTTCAGCCTGACTCACGAAATAGCTCTCATCACATGCTATCGGTCAACATCGGCCACGAAAGCAATCAGGGCCTATTTTAACATGTTAACTGGGGGGGGGGGGCAAATGCCCCCACACTCAACAGAATTGCCCCCCCCCCCCCCAGTCGTCGAGATGTGCCCACTATAAAAATGGGCATAAAGGAACACGGTGACAAACATACAACTGTGACTTGTTTTGCAATGGATGTCAAATGAGTCAGTCTGCAAGTAATGACCAGTGGTGGATCCAATGGTGGGTCATATGGGTTATGACCCCCGCCCCCTTTGGCCCGGGGACACCACAGGCCTGCCTGGGGCACCACCGGCCTGTCAGGGGCACCACAGACCTGTTGGGAGCACCATCGACCTAGGAAGAGCACCATAGGTCTGCCAGGGGCACCACAGACCTGCCAGAGGCCCCACCGGCCTCGCAGGGGCGCCACCTTGGGCCTGTCAGGGATACCACCACAGGCCTGCCAGGGGCACCACAGGCCTGTCAGAGGCACCACAGGCCTAGCAAGGGCACCACGGACCTGTCAGCGACACCACGGGCCTGTCGGGGGCACCTCAAGCTTGTCAGGGCCAAGGGACACCACAGGCCTGTCAGGGGAACCAGAGGCCTAGCAGGGACACCACATGCCTGGCAGGGGCACCACCGGCCTCGCAGGGACATCTTGGGCCTGTAAGTGGCACCACGTGCCTGTCGGGGACACTCCAGGCTTGTCAGGAGCACCACAGTCCTCTCAGGGCCCAGGGGCACCAGCGGCCTAGCAGAGGCACCACCGGCCTAGCAGGGACACCAACGGCCTCGCAAGGGCATCATGGGCCTGTCAGGGGCACCACGGGCCTGTCGTTGGAACTTCAGGCTTGTCAGGGGCACCCACAGTTCTTTCAGATGCACCGGCGGCCTAGCACCATGGCACCATGTTTGGCCGGGATTGCGATTCGGCGCATGTCGCCTCGCATTAGCCGCTCGTTTGCAGTCTTTTCGTGGTTTCAAACGTTCAAACATGGGATATGATGCTGCTCCCATGCATTAGGGTGGGTGTCAAGGTCACTGGAAGGTCAGATCAGGTCATTTACCTTTGATGACCTCGGCTCACATTTTCGAGTTCTATAAGATTCTAGGCTAGTTTTTGGAGCTACATTCGAATTTAGCAACCATTTGACCGTTTGCGAAGTAGTTTTGGTGCCTTCGTAACATGTTACGAAGCTGTCAGAGGCGGTTGCCACCTACTACGAACACCCGGCAAAACCCTTACTGGTTGACCTGACCTGACCTGACCCGACCTGGCCTAAATGCATGAAGACATCATCTATAATCATAACTAACATGATATTCGTGATCATCACCCCTAAAAAACATAGCAGCCACCCTTTACGATGCTCTAACAGGTCTCGATTTTCCCGACTTTTGGGTCATTGACCTGACCTGGAAGGTCAAGTGATGACGACCTAGGACCTTAACACTCGCCGGCACAGGCCATTTTGCGTCCTTCGACGGCACAAGGGGGGGTTGGTACGACCCCCCCTCGCGTTTGGCCCCTGATCGAGCTAGAGCTTCGCGGAAAAAACGAGCGTGCTGCCCGTCACGAGAGGAAGCCGATGATATCCAATTTTAATGTCCTAGGTCATCGGGTGACCTTCCAGGTCAGGTCAATGACCCGAAAATCGGGACCTGTTAGAACGTCGTAAAGTGTGGCTGCTATGGGGTTTTTCGGGGTGCTGATCCGAATGATATCATGTGAGTTTTGATCACAGATGATGTCTTCATGCATTTAGTCCAGGTCGGGTCAGGTCAGGTCAGGTCAACCAGTAGGGGTCCTGTCGGGTATTCCTAGTAGGTGTCAACCGCCTCTGACAGCTTCGTAACATGTTACAAAGGCACTAAAACTAGGCTTCGTAAATGTTCATCGGGCTGCTAAATTCGAATTCAGCTCCAAAAACTGGCCTAGAAACATGTAAAACTCGAAAAAGTGAACCGAGGTCATCAAAGGTCACTGACCTGACCTGACCTTCAGGTGACCTTGTCATCCACCCTAATGCATGGGAGCAACATCAAATCACATGTTTGAACGTTTGAAAGCACGAAAAGCTTGCAAAAGCGCGGCTAATGCGAGTCGACATACGCCGAATCGTGATTCCGGCCAAACATGGTCTCGGAAAGTAGGTCACAGGTCAAAGGTCATTTGGGTCAGGGTCATGAAATTTTCAGGGTAGGTGTAAAATTGATAAATGGGAGGGTACTGAAAGTTTCGTTGCAATCGGCAGCTTTTTACGCGAGTTATTCGCGAAAAAACCTTAGGGGGGTTGCATCAACCCCCCCCCCCTGTGTCGGCGAGGGTCGACGAGGGTTAAAATTGGGTATCATCGGCTTCCTTTCATCACGGGCAACACGGTCGTTTTTTCCACGAAGCTCTAGCTCGAGCAGGGTCGAAACGGCAAGGGGGAAGGTCCAACGGACCCCCCCCCCCCCCCATATACGTTCGCAGCTGGAAAATACCAATACGGGCGAGGGTTGATGGATTATTAGAGACAATTTTCCAGGTTGCCCCCCAGTCAAATTCCCTTAAAATAGGCTCTGAAAGCAATCCCAGTCACTGTCACCGCTATCATCGTATAAAGCACTGGGGACAATCTCCACGCTATATTTTCCGTACAGCCAGGGTAACAACTGGCATGGACATGGACAATTCAAGCACGCATACTGACATACATGCATCACCCTTTAGTAGGAGAAGGACATCATTGGTTTCACTATTGAGCCCTTAGAGGCTTAGGGCCTGTTCCAGCGCCTCCAGAAACCTCCAGAAAGCTCCAGAAAGCTCTAGAATCCTCCAGAGAGCGTTCCAGCGCCTCCAGAAAGCTCCAGAAAGCTCTCGCCAAAGCTCCAGAAACCTCCAGTAGCCTCCAGAGAGTTGAGAGGTCCAAATTTCTCTGGAGGCTCTGGTCTACAATTATGGTGCACATGTGACAATCACGAATGTAAACAAAGGACATTTGACTTATTATTTTACAACTTGAATGTAAAGAAAATTACAATGCTATAATTTTTTTTATCTTTTTAACTAAAATTGAAAACAAATTTTGCGTTTCAAGAGAGAACAATCATCATTCTTTTGGTATCTATGACGCTAATCTCCAGAAATCTCCAGATTGCGTTCCAGCGCCTCCAGTAAAACCTCTGGTAGAGCCTCCAGTCAAGAATTTCTTCTGGAGGCGCTGGAACAGGCCCTTAGACAGATGACAATCCTGAAGCTCAATGGCTCCAAGACCATGCTTTTTTCATATGCAGTGACGTATGCAGTGACGTAAATATGCTGCAGTAAAACCAACACTCAGGCCGGGGGGATCCAGGGCGTCGCAAGTCCATCTACGACACGTCGCAAGTTACGACACATGTCCCGTCGCAAGTTGTGTCGTAGCGAAAAAGGAGGGATGTTGAGGAAAGAGGGGTTTGTCGGAGGATACGACAGAACGTAGCTGCGACGAGGCTTAAATACCCGCTTTACTCGAGAATTTAAAAGGCTACACGATCAGCTGATCCCGTAGTAAACGTCAGTAAGGTCGAAAACTCTATCACGCATAAAGGAACATTCGCCTTTCTGGTTTGCGAGCTTATGAGACAGCAAGGTCAAGCATGTTCTCTGATTCTGAAGCTTTGTATTAACTGGGTGACTTGTGGTTGCTAACGCTCACGTGATTTGCCATAAAATTTGGGATCGATCACAGGAGATTCGTGGCTATAGGGCATCTAGAATCGATGCTTTAGAAGAAATGAGTTCCGAGAGTTTGAGGTCACAGAGAGGTAAGAAATTTGTAGATGGAGGTCACAATTGGAGGTTACAGAGGTCATCTGGGACACGTCAGGTCACAGAGGTCAACTTGGGGTCATCACAGAGCTCAATTAGAGACCACGGAGGTAATCTGAGACACGTCAGGTCACAGAGGGCAACTTGGGGGCACGTCAAGTCACAGAGGTCAACCTAGGGTCATCACAGAGCTCAATTGGAGGTCATATGGGACACGTCAGGTCACAGAGGTCAGCTTGGAGTCACTAGAGAGCTCAATTGGAGGTCACGGAGGTCATCTGGGACACGTCAGGTAACAGAGGTCAACTTGGGGTCATCACAGAGCTCTATTGGAGGTCATGAGGGTCATCTGGGACACGTCAGGTCACAGAGGTTAGCTTGGGGTCATCATAGAGGTCACTTAGAGGTTACAGAGGTCATATGGGACACGCCAGGTCACAGAGGTCAAGTTGGGGTCATCACAGAGCTCAAATGGAGGTCATCTGGGACACGTCAGGTCACAGAGGTCAGCTTGGAGTCATCAGAGAGCTCAATTGGAGGTCACGGAGGTCATCTGGGACACGTCAGGTCACAAAGGTCATGTTGGGGTCATCACATAGCTCTATTGGAGGTCATGGGGGTCATCTGGGACACGTCAGGTCACAGAGGTCAGCTTGAAGTCATCAGAGAGCTCAATAGGATGTCACGGAGGTCATCTGGGACAGGCCAGGTCAAAAAGGTCAACTTGGGGTCATCACAGAGCTCATTGGAGGTCATCGGGGTCAGCTGGGACACGTCGTTTTTGGAATTGGGAGAATATTTTGGGAGATACCCCTTGCAACGTCCAAGACCGCCTTTCTGGATTCGCCAGTAGTTGCTGGAATGGTGTTAGGCTACTTCATATCCCCGAATACCCCAATAAATGTGAATATAACATACTATGCACCATTTTCAACACTCTCGCTGGCACCGATTGAGGCCTCATAGACGACCCGTCAGTTCAAGCTCTATAACTCGCGTTAGCGTCAACGGATTGCAACCAAATTTTCAGGATCTAAAGTTTAAACAATTTTACACCTACCATGTAAATTTCGTGACCATGACCCGAATGACCTGTGACCTGTGACCTCTTCCTCAAGGCAAGGTCAACTTGCGACACAACTTACGACTGCTATTTCAAATTCGTAAGTTGTGTCGCAAATCAGGCTATTTGCGATAGACTTTACTACTTAAGTAACGCTACTCATCAATTGATCCCTTCACAAACGACTTACTACACAACTTGCGACACGTCGCAGCTACGACGAGGCTTACGACGCTCTGGATCCCCCCAGCCTAAGTAAAACGCCAGCGCTGGCTCTGTTCGGTTTCACGAGTCGACGAGATAGCGAAAGGCGGAAAAAAGAAAGATATTTCATATGGTAGCTATGGTTATTGCATCCCGCTTTCGCTTCAAAAATAGTAACAAACTACTGGAAAAGCATTTTAAAAGTGCAAAATGAAGCTTTTCATGATAACTGTATGAAGATTTGACCACGGTAACTTGATGTTATCTCCCTTTCACGTTGTGTGAAACCTTGATTCTTATTTAGCAGCCTCTTTTTTATGATGCACTGTTACATACATGACGCTTTTACGTCAACCACACCTGCATAAACAACATATCATAACTGATAATGTTTATATTTGGGAGGCAAGGCTAGTGCCTCGCTATTTTTGGCATTAGTAGATCAGACGTCACACGAAGGTTTTCCAACTGAAGAGATGCTGTAGGTTTGTAGGTTGTAGGGTAGGTTTGTAGCACTGGTTTGTAGGCTTGTAGGTTGTAACCGAAGGTTTGTTGTCAATAGTTAAAACACTATTCTTTAGAATTGTGTTTTTCTATTGAAAAACAAATCTGAGTTCCCTGACAATTTGGCAAAAGCTGCCTGAGATCAGTACAACTTTAGGTTGTAGGTTAGGTTAGGACAGGTCAGGTTAGGTTAGGTTTGTTTAGGTTTTGTTAGAAAGAAGCACCTCCGGGTACAGCGCCACTCCTTGGTTGGAAAACCTTCGTGTGACGTCTGCTCTACCAATACCGCTATTTTTATTGATTTATTGGTCGTTCGTGGCACTCTTATAGTGCAGTAAAGGCCTTGAGTGTCGAGCTATTCGCAAGCCCCATTTCATTTCACCTGTTACCTACTTGCTGATCACTGATGCTTTTCAACACTGGTGGATCAAGGACCGGGGCGGGGTATTTGCCGCCCTACCTAGGTATTTATCTAGTTACCTACAAGACTTTGTTGTTTACCTATTTCACAAGGAGAGAAAACCAGGGTTTGTTGTTTGTGTATTTTTTCATGAGCAACATTTGTTTGATAGGAATTGACTGATATCTGAACCAGGACAGACGGGGAACGTGACCTTTGTTTGTTTATTCAATGGATGGTTTATGACTTAATATCAATAATATGAGACTTGTTTATGACTTCCTTCGTTCTATTTCATATGTTTCACAATAGAGGAGACTTGATGCTACCTGAGCTGTCTATGGCAGATCCACATTCCCAGAATGGGAAAATATACATTATGCCGAATATGTCCAGCAAAGTTGCCGCTGGCGGGATTGCGCAAAAAAATTCAGCTCATGTCTGGCGTAACGTGGCATGCGTCAAATTCAGTGCAAATTTTTCAGGGAATGATGGTCACCAAATTTTTCGGCGCTCTGGTCAATCTAGCAGTAGATTCGCCTCTGTAGAGGGTTCGGGACGAGACGTCTCTCGCCCCGGTTATTGCATGCTGCGACCGCCCTGAGTCCATATAGCAGAGGAGCAGCCGCCCAGGTGAGGCCTCCACCCTCGGCGTGGAGCTAGGTTTGGAAGACCTTGTTGAACATCGCCGAGCATCGTGAAGTGGGTGGGTTCCACCCACTTCAGTGGGTTCCAGTCCAGGCTCCTGCCAATTGCGAGATCGAGCTGAGTGAAAGGGCGGTCGACCTGGTGAAACAGTCGGTCGCTCTGCCCTCGGAATTCGGAAACCCACTCGCTGACCCGGGTGGTACGTTGTGCGGCCTCGCGTCAATGCATTGACGCGAGGCAATACCGCAACATCTGGTCCGAGTCACTATTCAAGCCACTCTTCAAGATCACGCTGCAGCTCCTCATCCCCGGAGGCGGAGAGGACCGAGAGGACGCCGTTTCGGTGCACCAGATGAGGGCAGGCCACTGGGGCCGCTCGGTCCAGTACGTGCACCGAATTGGCTGCCTCCACTCCGTGGCGTGCCAGCGGGCAAGCAATGCCCCGCGGCGCTTTGCACCGTGTGCCGAGAAGAGGCTGATGTCCTGGAGCACGTGTTGCTCCGCTGCCCGGCGCTCGCTGGCGCCTGCCAGTCTCGAACACACCGCTCCGCCGATTTTTGCGGCCCCGGAACTTGCGGCCTGGGCCTTGTTTCACAGTACGACGCTATATTGCAGTACGCGTATTGCGGTATTGGCGAACATCAATTCCATTCCATTGAATTCCATAGAAATTAAAAAAAAAAAAATCCATGGGAACATCAGTTAACCCGCGCGGGGCGGGGGGGGGGGGTGTTTGAACACCCCTCCCCCATGCGGTTTTTCGCAGATATCTCAAAAACGGCAGCGCTCCTGGACCACCTGTTCACACATCTTTTCCGCACATGTGAAAATTTCAGATCCAGGGCTTACAAGGTCAGGTCGCCAGGTCACGTCAAGTGACCTCACCTCAGAAAAAGTTTCAATCCTCGTCTGAGCTACAGCGGCCAAACGATCGCCTTGAAACTTTCAGCGATTGATATGAGTAATAGTATGTACAAAATGTATATCTCGGAATTTTGATATCGGTGACCTAAGGTCAGGGCTATTTTGCGACATCTCCATTAGGTATAAGTCAATGGGAGAAAATTGAAATGCGTCCCTTGTGGACGAATGGTGTTCAAAACCCTCTCAAACATCGGTTCATGGGTAAACATGACACACTGAATCGGAAAAATGCACCTGTGAGTTGTGACCCCTCTGTGTGCCCCTGAGGTCATCTCAGGTCATGAACGGTCATCAGCAGTTTTTTGGCTATAACTTTTGATAGAGACGTGCTAGAGCGATGAAAACACGTCAGATGTATTCAGCTCGACGATACGGATCGACTGATATGCAACATGACCCTTTCCGGTCAGGTCATGACCTTGACCTGATGTCAAATTTTCAAAGTGACCTTTTAAGGTCAGCGAATAGCTCATTCGACGCGTCTCGACGAGAGATACTGGAAAAGTGCCAAAAGATGTCTTGTGTTAATGCCATGAGCTCGCCGGGAGTGGGCCGATATCAGGTGGAGGTACTGGCGGGCCATTCCCCAATCCCCCTTGACCGGCCCGCGGCTGGTGGACATCCACCGCCTCGCTCCTGCTCACACCGGAGACCGGGGTCGGCACCCGGTCCCCCCTAGCCAGATTCACCGGAAGAAAGAGTCCGGTGATGACCTGCGGCATACCTCTGCAATTGTCTAGGCCACGGTGTCTGTGATCGTACGGAGGTCCGCTGGCGCCCCCTGATGGAGGCCGGTTGGTTCTCTTGCCAGTTCGTCCGCCTTTTCGTTTCCGAAACCGCCACAATGGGCCAGCACTCACTGTTATGTGACTCTTGACCTCTGGCTGAGATGCTGTGCAGCAGCGTCCATGTAAATGTCTCTAGATAGCGGTAACTGCCTTTAGAACACGCACCTTCGTCCAGCAGGGACAGTGCCGCCTGGGAATCTTTGCATAGGACCACAGGACTTTCCGCCTGAGCACGTGGTAGACTGCTGCCTCCTCCAGCGCAGCTTTGATTACGTACAGCTCTGTGCGGGTGGCGGAGCACAGGCGTCCTGAGGCGGTTTCAGTTTCCTTTGTCTGATTCCTGAGTGTGAGGAGGGCGCCGCTGTCGCCGTGCTGCCCTCCGCTGAGACATCGCTCCAGATCTATTTGGACTGTTCTGGGGGAGTAGCGAGGTGGGTCTCAGCGGTCTGGGCATTCTGAAATGAGTTTGGTACTCGTACCTACCATTCATGATAGCTAGGTAGGTTGAATAAGTAGGTTAGGTGGTTTGAACCTACTTGAATCCATAATCTGTGACCAGTTGCTGAACTTTTTTTTCTGACCAGTAAAAAGGATTCGGGGACGACAAATGAGTGAGCAAGAGGGCGAGCCCTGCACATGTGGCACTGTGCAGGGGTTCTTTCAACTGACCTGTGCACCAGCCGGTGTCTAGCGGTGTGCCAAAGCTGATCGCGATCGAAGTGGTCCCCCATCTGGGGTGGTCTGCGCCCCATTGGTGAACTGCTGTATCGTTGCTATCACTGTGTTGTGTTGAAGCTGACTGATTTTTGTTCTGTTTCAGGAGTTTGCAGCACTGTAACCATTCTATTGAGGTCATACCATAAACGCTACAAAATGGGCAAAAACGGAATTCCTGATAGGTAAGCTTGGTCCCTTAGTTTTACTAAGCATATTCTGATCATTGAGGTAGTTTCTGTTCCTAGCTGTTTTCATCTATATTTACTACTTCATCGATCCCATGTGCGAGTACCGTCCTGTACTGGTAAGGATCTTCTGCCTTTGTGTCATGTTTTCATGCCTTGCATGCCTCAAACTGTGGATCTTTGCCATATACAAAGTCCCGATCTTCCACTCGCTCGCCGAACCACCGGTTCAAAATATGCCCACCAGGTGTCGCTAGCTGTATCTCTCCCGTCACATAAGGGGCTAAGTTGTTCCTTCACCCATCGCCGGGCATTTCTTGTTGGAACTAAGTCGCAGCAAACTCTCTTACATTTTGACTTTTGAAATGTCGCGTACTTCCAAACGCTAGAGCATCAAAATAACGTATGTTTGTTGACTAGATACAAATACCAATACAAATATTTGAAAAGTTACACTTAGCTCCAGTAATGACGATCTCTAACGGTAAGTGCTAACCAGGATGTCCCGTCATTTTGCAAGCTTTGTTGGCAGATGTATCCTTTTGCCTCCCCTATGTGTCCGTCACTGTGCCCATTTCTGACGGCGCCGCGGTCTGACAGGTGGCTGGACTACAGCAACTTCGGAGACGTTATCGAGGGCACGCGGATCGTCGCGCTAAAGGTTCCCCTCAAAGAGGTAAGGCTTTGGGCAATGTGGGCTGCTGGGTCTTAGCAAGTGTTAAGCTCAGGAGTCAGGAATGCATTGGTATTGGAAAAGAATACTGCTTATTACTGTTTCTGGGTATTTAACGTACTGAAGGTATTTTGGAGCATATAGGTGTACAGAGGTCTATGGTTGGATAATTTTTACTTGTTGATAAAATATCAGACAAAGATAATACGGATGGGGTGGCGTTGCAAAGCCAACACCCCGAGAAAAACTGATCTGATCTGATTTTACCGCCATTCACACTCGCGCTGGGTAACTTTGAAGGTGTCGATCTGAAAAACTGACCTTGCAAGACAAGACGTCCAGGCTGAACTAATTGCTGTTCATGTCAGCGCTGTGTTGGCAGTGTGTTGCTGCGATGTTCGCGAGGATGGCAGTGTCAAACATGTCAGTGTTGGACATGTTGGGCATTATCGGCATATTTGTACCGGTTAGCGTGTAGTGTTGTACCGTTCAACCTACCCAGTTCTGAATGTTAGATTTGGTAGCCGTTGTCAACAGCAATAAGCACAACTGGATTGTTATCGAGCCAGTCCTTTTCATAGTAGCTGATATGATGTTATTTACTTTTGAAATACCAGAACTCAAAGCTGGAAATGGAGTTAAACAGACGCACTCGAGCTCTGGACTCCAACCCAGTCCGTCAGTCCATCCCAGTGTCCGACGTTCTCAGTCAATTGGTGCTCTGTTCTCAGACTGTCGTTCTCAGTCTGCGGCTCATTTCTCGAGTCAATTCACCACCCCGCTCACCTTCTCTTGGTTCTCAGCCTGCCGTTCGTTTCTCAGACTGAGACTTCGTTCTCATTCTGCTGTTCTGTTTCCAGACCGCTGATCCGTTATCAGTCAGTCCGTCGCTCCGTTTTCAGTCTGCTACTCGGTTCTCCTTTAGTCCGTCGCTCCGTTGTCAGTCCGCCACTTAGTTCTCCTTCAGTCCGCCATTCTGTTCTAAGTCCGCCACTTCGTTCTCTGTCATTCAGTCCGCCGCTCATTCCGGTATGTGCGGCAGCCCGGTACAGCCGCCAGGAGCGAACGGTGCGTACCCCGCTCTGTTTATGTGCTCATGCGGTATGAGAATGGGTGTCCTCGCGCCGCTGGGGGTGCATTCCGTGGCTCCGCGCGGGAGCTGCGACTAACTCCGGAGCCGGGAGGACCGGTGACGGTTGCAAAAGACGTGTCTTGTGGATGCTCCTAGTGGTCCCCTCTCTTTTCTAAGAGTCGATATGACATAAGATGGAAACCGCATGTGACGGCACGATTGTTGCTGACAATGGGATTTTCATGTAAAGTAGCTGGTTTGAGTCCTGCTTTTTTCTACATAGTAACCGACATTTCTTGCTCCAATTCGTAAGCTTTTTCACGAACCGTGAATCTGTAGCTAATGTCCGATAATGGAAAAGGTGAACCTAACGACCTGGATCAGCGGTGATGTCGCTGTGAGCTCTTGGCTAATGGAGCTGAAGTGCCGATCTCCTTGCGTCAGGAAAGCGTCCCTGATCCCTGCACCGTCCTGGTTGATGAAAATTCGCTCACGACCTGCCGCTGGGCAGCTCAATCCGCAGTTTGGCGCTCGCTTATGTCAATGAGTTTCTCCAGGTCGTGAGGGTTTGTCCAGGAGGAGCTCACGCTCTGCACAGCGTCCACTGAACACTGGACAAGCTCTGTTTTCGAAACCAGAAACAACTAGACGTGTTTTTTTACAGATGTTTCTGTACACCGTTCTAAAACCACAGTTGGTGGGCTGTCTGGTGCATGTTTGGTGTCAACCGCAGCGGTTCACAATTCCGTGCAGTATCGGTAAATGTTTGCGTCATTAGCCCGTTAGAACTGCACGCGACAACACTTCCAGACCGGTGTGGTTCCATGCTCACACGTAAATATGTCGACCGTCAACTAGTTTACATGTTTCCGTGTCCGGATTTTCGATGTGCGGTATCTGTTACATGATCTTAGGGAATCACGCTCGTGCTAGCAGCAGTTTTGTTCTGTTTGTGTTCTTAATTTCCTTTTTACCTCACGTGAAACCATACCTAAATATTACCCTAGACACTCTTCCCCGGTGTTCTCAAACGCCATAAGATTAACTTCGTTACTCGAAAGACTGCATAATTCCTTTGGAAAGTATTCTTCAAGAGTCGCATTGTCTTATCATGTATGACAGTTTTTCTCACTATTACTTTCCCAAATCTTCTTTTTCAGTTTTCGAATAAAAAAACATTCTTCGCCGTGTATCGCTTACCCCGTTTTATTTGTGCACTAACCGTAGCAAAACTATGGATAGTCCCATGTCGCTATTTTTATCCGTATCAATCTCTTGATAATCTATTCTGGAAACTACGAAAGGCTTCACCGTGCTTCTGTCGGTGGTTTCGTTATCATTGTATCGATATAGATCCATACGATTACCGTGTGAAAGGCCCACATTAGTCCGTGATCGAGTCCGGGAGCCTGCCCAATAGACGCCGTTCGTGACCGGCATAGCGGTTCTGCGAAGGGCCGACTGCTAGCAGTGGTTTCCTTCAGCCTTCCCCGTCCTTCGGTAGGCGGGGGAGGCCCTTTATGTTGTGACTGGCGTGGTGCGAATGTAACGTGGGAACGCGCGCAGTTCCTATTTTGATGCGGAGTTTTTGAAGTTGCTTTTATGCCTACTCGACTTTCACTTTCGGTCTTTTGAGTAATTTTGGCGTTCGATTCCGTTTAGCCATGCTTGGTGTAAGCCATATTTCAGCTGAAACATGTGACAAATATGTCGAGTACGTTTACGTAATAATTCATGTGATTTGTGTTCTAACGCCAGTGATATGCAGTAGATAATAACTGAACCGCAGACCTACCACTTATCCATCAGATCGGCACGCGTTTGAGTGCGTCTTTTCTGCTTATTGTGAACTAATGGCGGCGCAGGGTCGCTGTTCACCAAAGAGCCGGCATGGTGAAATCGCGGCACACAATGCATCGATCGTATCTAGAAATTAAGCGGGTGTGACACCCCCAGCTTTGACACGGCAATGCAGTTGTAGCAACAGGCTGTCAGCTAGTATTAGCCGATAGCTAAGTATGCCCTTGTCAGTGGTGCGTAGTCTGGTTGCTCTCTTTCTGCCATCAATGTGTTATATTCGGGACAATTTACAATGTTGATAAAGATTGTGCAGAGGACGGGATATACCTGGCCTTTTTTTACTTGTTCTCATTATTGACGTCCTTTTCAAAATGTGATAGGACAATGTCGCTCGCTTGATTTGTTTTGGTTAGTACCTTTCTCACAATGCGCTACATTATCAACCGGGAACGCTGCCGAAATTGATGCCTCTGTGTCCCTGGCGAGTGAATAGAAACTACCGAATCTCACCGTAACACACATGTGTCTGGCTTCGGTCTCTTTTTCCCGTCAAAATATCACCTTCCGTGTAACGGGCTTTAGGATTGATCCGTCTCCTGAACAGAGAATGTATAGCACGGGGTTGACACCGATCTCCGGCGTAGCTAAGGGCTGATGTTGGCTCAGCTGGTTGGAGCAGCGCCCGAACCAAGTAATCGGCGCCCCAGTGCCCGCTATATTATGTCATCAGACGGGACACTGACGGCCGGAACACACCGTGGCTATTCTGTGCGCGGCTTAGGGCGCGGCCTCGCGGCTCGAGCTCGCTCCCACGCGGCCGCGGCGGCGGCGCGGTCCCATTCGGACGCGTCGCGCCGGGCGGCGGTGCCGGCGCGGTGCGCCGCATTGTGTGACGTTAGTTCAGCTGGCCCCGTGTCGGCGGACACAATGAGCCGGCACGCCCCCGGTGGCCGCCGGGAGAGCTACCTCCTCCGATACCGAGAGCTCCGACGCCACTTACCAGAGAGTTATGTTCTGCATTGTGCCGGCGCGGCCCGAAAATATGCGCCCGGCGCCCGGTGGCCGCGCGCGGATAAAGCCGACGCCGGGGACCACACCGGGTGACACTGTTCCACTGATTTAGCGGCCGCGTATTGTAGCGACTGATTGAGACGGAGTCGGTGGTGGCCTCGGCCACCGCCGCGCCGCTCTGGCCGGTCACGGACGACACCTGGCCTCCACCCCGCCCTCCCCCCTCTCCCACCCTCGTCCGGTGGGAACCACGCGACAGCTCGCCGCGCAGTGACCGGCTCTGTTTTCGCGAGCAGGCGCATAATCGGCCCATTAGGGGCGGTCCAGTTTAGGAGGCGGCCGGCCGGCGCGCATTGTTTGCTGTGGAATGTGAGGTGACGGCGCTGAGGACGGGTGTTTGTCGTCGTCCGGCCGCCCGTCGGGCCCGGCGCCCCGTTCGTACACCCTGCCGACGCGCCCAGGAGGGCAGCGCGCCGATCGGCATCGCTGCCAGGAACGCGGCCGGGCCGGGAGACCGACTGGGGATCGGTCCCGGTCCTGGGGGTTCCCGTCATCGTCCCTCGTTGTTGGAACCCACCGGACTGAAGACTCCTTTGCATACTCATGGACGCGGGCAGAGTCACCCCTCTGCGACTGGTGGTGTAACGTTACGAGTTCCGGTCCACGCTTCATTCACGTCGAAGTCCTCTGCCGATGACGCCACAGCCCTGAGGTCGCCCAAGTTCCGCGTTTTGCCACCCGACCCTGGATCCGCCCGTGTCTGTCAATTCGACACTCACCCTTGGTGGTTCGATCACTCCAATCGTTCTGTGTGAACAGTATCGCGATATGCCGGGCTCCGAGCGCTGTTGAACGCCGTCGAGCGGTGGGAAGTCCGATCCTTGAGCGCGAGAGGCGCCGGTGGAGGCTGGAGGGTGACCTCCGACCGCCGACCGGCGCCGGCGTGACGCCAGCGTGACGCTGGAGTGACGCTCCGCGGTCGATTGGCGCATTCCTGCGGATCTTAGCAACGATAGTTGCCGTCCATTGCACCGTTTTCGATTTTTTTTTTATCAGTCCAGCTGTCGGTTCAGGACACTCGTTGAATAGTTTATATGACTTTCATTGAAGCCTTTTTTGA